TGTTTGTTAGATTTAAGACAGGGGTCTTCACACTTGGCCCTTTTATGAATTGTGGATTTCAACTCCCAGAATTCCTCAGCCAGCCTCCATTTTGTTTGTTAGATTTAACACGGGGTCTTCAAACTTGGCCCTTTGATGACTTGTGGACTTCAACTCCCAGAATTCCTCAGCCACCGCCCATTTTGTTTGTTAGATTTAAGACAGGGGTCTTCAAATTTGGCCCTTTTATGAATTATGGACTTCAACTCCCAGAATTCCTCAGCCAGCCTCCATTTTGTTTGTTAGATTTAAGACAGGGGTCTTCAAATTTGGCCCTTTTATGACTTGTAGACTTCAACTCCCAGAATTCCTCAGCCAGCCTCCATTTTGTTTGTTAGATTTAAGACAGGGGTCTTCAAATTTGGCCCTTTTATGAATTATGGACTTCAACTCCCAGAATTCCTCAGCCAGCCTCCATTTTGTTTGTTAGATTTAAGACAGGGGTCTTCACACTTGGCCCTTTTATGAATTGTGGATTTCAACTCCCAGAATTCCTCAGCCAGCCTCCATTTTGTTTGTTAGATTTAAGACAGGGGTCTTCAGATTTGGCCCTTTTATGACTTGTGGACTTCAACTCCCAGAATTCCTCAGCCAGCCTCCATTTTGTTTGTTAGATTTAACACGGGGTCTTCAAACTTGGCCCTTTGATGACTTGTGGACTTCAACTCCCAGAATTCCTCAGCCACCGCCCATTTTGTTTGTTAGATTTAAGACAGAGGTCTTCAAATTTGGCCCTTTTATGAATTATGGACTTCAACTCCCAGAATTCCTCAGCCAGCCTCCATTTTGTTTGTTAGATTTAAGACAGGGGTCTTCAAATTTGCCCCTTTTATGACTTGTAGACTTCAACTCCCAGAATTCTTCAGCCAGCCTCCATTTTGTTTGTTAGATTTAAGACAGGGGTCTTCAAACTTGGCCCTTTTATGACTTGTGGACTCCAACTCCCAGAATTCCTCAGCCAGGTACATGTGCCTGGCTGAGGAATTCTGGGAGTTGAAGTCCACAAGTCATAAAAGGGCCAAGTTTGAAGACCCCTGCCTTACACCATTTCAGACAAATAGTTGTACAGTCTCTTCTTAAAGTCGTCTAGTGTTGGAGCATCCAGAATTTCTGGAGGGAATGTGTTCAACTGGTTAATTGTCCTCATTATCAGGAAATTTCTCCTTAGTTCCAGGTTGCTTCTCTCCTTGATTGATTTCCATCCATTGCTTCTTGTCCTCCCTTCAGGTGCTTTGGAGAACCTTCTCTGGGACAGCCCTTTAAATATTGGAACAGTTGCAGGATTTGGATATGGGTAATCTAGAGGACAGGAAGGCCTGGAGGAACGTTGTCCATGGGGTCGCAATGGGTCGGACACAACTTTTCAATTAACGACAACAACAATCTAGAGAAAGTAGGACCAGGTACTACGTGATAGCAGTATTCCAGTATTTGAAGAGCTGCCACAAAAAGGAGGGGGTCATTTTACTTTCCAAAGCACCAGAAGGCAGGACAAGAAGCAACGGATGGAAACCAATCAAGGAGAGAAGCAACCTGGAATTAAGGAAAATTTTCCTAACAATGAGGACAATTAACCAGTGGAACAGCTTCCCTCCAGAAGTTGTGGGTGCTCCATCACTCAAGGTTTTTAAGAAGAGACTGGACAGTCCCTTGTCTGAAATGGGATAGGGTCTCCTGCTTGAGCAGGGGGTTGAACTAGATGACCTCCAAGGTACCTTCCAACTCTGTTCTGATTGATGGAAAATGTGTGGTCAAAGGGGTTGAAATGTCCATTATGTTGTGATCTTAAAGAGAATTTTTTTGTAAAATCACCTATTGTTCTATTCTATTCTATTCTATTCTATTCTATTCTATTCTATATTCTGTTCTTATTTCTATATTCTATTCTATTCTATTCTACATCCTATTGCTATTCTATTCTATCCTATATCCTATATCCTATCCTATCCTATTCTATATTGTTTTTATTTCTATATCTATTCTATTCTATATTGTGTTCTTATTTCTATATTCTATTCTATTCTATTCTATATTCTGTTTTTATTTCTATATTCTATTCTATTCTATTCTATATTCTGTTCTTATTTCTATATTCTATTCTATTCTAGTTACTATTCTATTCTATTCTATTTACTATTCTATTCTATTCTATTCTATATTCTGTTCTTATTTCTTTATTCTATTCTAGTTACTATTCTATTCTATTCTATTTACTATTCTATTCTACTCTATATTCTGTTCTTATTTCTATATTCTATTCTATTCTATTCTATATTCTATATCCTATATCCTATATCCTATATCCTATCCTATCCTATCCTATCCTATTCTATATGCCTTAGTGCCAGGGAACTGAAGTCCACCCATCTTAAAGTTACCTAGTTTGGAAACGTATTTATTTATCCCATTTCTAAAGCCACCCAATTCAACCAGATTAGTCTGGGTGGCTTACACTTCTATTGTTGGCACAGGATGACAGAGAAATTATCTAGAACGTATAAAGGCCCTTCAAATATATGTTGGGAATGTGAACAACACGGAGGGACATTTTATCATGCGTGATGGACGTGTCAAAAAGTTTTTCAAAAATGGATTCAAAGTCACACAAAGGATTTTAAAGGTTGACACAGGTAGTCCTCAACTTACAACAGTTCGTTTAATGACCGTTTGAAATTACAACAGCCTTGAAAAAAGCGACTTATGACTGGTTTCACACTCATGACTCTTGCAGCCTTCCCCAGGGTGGCATGAACAAAATTCAGACGCTTGGCCACTGACTCGTATTTATGACGGTCGCAGTGTCCCCCAGGGTCATGTGATCCCCTTTTACGACCTCCTGACAAGCAAAGTCAATGGGGAAGCCGGATTCCTTTAACAACGGTGTTAGTAACTTAACCATTGCAATGATTTATTTAACGATTGTGACAAGAAAAATCATAAAATGGGGCAAGACTCACCGATGGATGCATAGTTAGAAAACAGCCATGGAAAATTATTTCAGTATATAATAATAATAATAATAATAATAATAATAATAATACACCCCAGACTTAACAATTGTCGATAAGAAAGACAAAAAAGTCTGCATAGTGGATGTGGCAGTGTCTGGAGACAGCAGAATAGACAAGAAAGAACTGGAGAAGATAACAAAATACAAAGACCTACAAATAGAAATAGAAAGACTGTGGCAAAAGCAAGCAAGGGTAGTACCAATAGTAATAGGCTCCTTGGGTGCAATCCCAAAACAACTGGAGCACCACTTGAACACCATTGGCATTGACAAATTCGCTATTAGTCAATTGCAAAAGGCGGCCTTACTAGGAACTGCTTCCATCCTGCGACGATATCTGTAATACCATCAAACATCCACATCTGCCTATCCCAGGTCCTGGGTCCAGTCCTGTCGATAGGTAGACAAAATGCCAAATCCAGTCTGAACATCTGGCTGACTGTGCAATGATCCATAACAACAACAACAACAACAACAATAATAATAATAATAATAAAATAAAAAATTGGAAGGGACCTTGGAGGTCACCTAGCCCAACCCCCTGCTCAGGCAGGAAACCCTACACCATTTCGGACAAATGGCTGTCCAGTCTCTTCTTAAAAACTTCCAGTGTTGGAGCATTCGCTGCTTCTGGAGACAAGGAGTCCCACTGGTTAATTGTTCTAACTGTCAGGACGTTTCTCCTTAGTTCTAGGTAGCTTCTCTCCTTGATTAATTTCCATTCATTGCTTCTTGTCCTGCCTTTGGTTGTTTTGGAGAATAGCTTGACTCCCTCTTCTTTGGGGCAGCCCCTGAGATACTGGAACCCTGCTATCATGTCCCCCCTCGTCCTTCTCTTCATTAAACTAGACATACCCAATTCTAGCAACCGTTCCTTATATGCTTTAGCCTCCAGTCCCCTGATCATCTTTGTTGCTCTTCTCTGTACTCTTTCTAGAGCAGTGGTTCTCAACCTTTTTAATGCTGCGACCCCCAACCGGTCGTAAGTCGAGGACTACTCAACTGGTCGTAAGTCGAGGACTACTCAACTGGTGCAGCACCGTTTGCAGAATGGGACTTTTGGCGGGCTCAGCAGGGCAGAGACAGCCTGGACAATTCCTATGGGCTTTTGAAAGCCAATAGAATTAGACTCTATTCAAGAAAGTCTATTCTATTGGCTTTCAAAAGCCAATAGAATAAAAGGGAGTAGCACAGCTAAGGAAAAGGGGAAAAAATGGCGGACTGCGTTGTTTGGCGACCCCCGTGAAATAGTCGTTCGACCCCAAATGGGGTCCCGACCCACAGGTTGAGAACCACTGTTCTAGAGTCTCAGCATCTTTTTTACATCGTGGGGACCAAAACTGGATGCAGGATTCCAAGTGTGGCCTTTACCAAGGCATTGTAAAGTGGTATTAACCCTTCACGTGATCTTGATTCTATCCCTCTGTTAATGCAGCCCAGCATTATTATATTATATATTATTATATAGTAGTAGTAGTAGTAGTAGTAGTAGTAGTAGTAGTAGTAGTACTGCAACAAGATTTATGCAGAAAGGGGGAAAGATTCTGTACTATCCCTGTGCAGGAATCAATGATGACATTGTCCAGACTTGCTAAAATGAATAAACTTCCTTTTTAAAATAGAGTATCATCAATATCCTCAGAAAAAAACAACCCAAAAGAAAAAAAAACGGTTAGCCTTCCCAGATTTCCCCAAACACCCTTGGCAAACAGGCTTTATGAAAGTCTAGGACCATGTTTCTCATCCGTGGCAACTTTACAATGTCTGGACTTCAACTCTCAGAATTCCCCAGGCAGCACAGAATTCTGGGAGTTGAAGTCCAAATGTCTTAGAGCCGAGGTCCCCAACCTTTTGGGCATTGGGGACCGGTTCCGTGGAGGGAGGTTTTTCCACAGACCGGAGAGTGCGTGGTTTTTGTGTGCTGCCTGCATCCCGCGGATGGGGCGTGGCTTGTTTGTGCGGACCGGTTGCTGGCATGCTGTGGCCCAGTACCGGTCCACAAATCGAGGGTTGGGGACCCCCCGTCTTAAAGTATCTTAAGGTTGAGAAACTTGGGGATTAAAATTACAACAACAATCAGAAATAAGAGAAGTAAGTTAAGGAAGCACAACTCTCTGGATATTTGGGGGAGGGCCGATATCATCTTCCATCATGCTACACCGAATCAGCCAGCTGTGCTTCTGATCAGGGGTGGTGATGCTCTGAGCAGGGCATCCTTTGGCTTTAAATCAAACGCATGTTCTTCTCACTGTAGTCATAAGGATCGCCTTCAAAGGGCAGGGGGGGAGGGTGGTTGTATATTCCCACCAAGAAGATCCACAAGGTTCCAAGGCTCAGGATGGGAGTCACCAAGAAGAGGCAGAGGCGGTCCACGGTCCGAGCAACACAATTCCAGTTGTCCTTTTCCTGCAAGAATAAAATAATAGGATTGGGAAAAGGTCAAAGCCTTTAATGCACCTCAAAGCCACGCCAAAGCTGTGCTCAGCCAACATCACTTCAGGAAGACTCTAGTAAGTTTTGTGGACTTCAACTCCCAGAATTCCTCACTCTTTATTGAATCCACTGCATGGCAGTAATATCGAAGGAAAACTGACTCTGAGGTGCCAACCCCAATTCATAGGCTTAAACAATTATTTTCCCAGCCAAACCCCAAATTCTAATGTTAGTCCATATAAACAAGTTCACTTTGTTAGGGGAACCGTCTGCTTCAAATCCACACCTGTTCTGGTGTCCTTGACAAGACTTCAGGCTCTCACGGTCTCCAGCTGAATCAAAGAGATTTGTCCATTTAACCCACTTGAAAGTAACATTCCCCCCCCAATCTAAAGGCAAGATGAAATGTAGAGGCACATAGCTGCCAAAGTTTCATCCTTGACAAAACAGTTGTAAGTCGAGGACTACCCGTAACTAAGGAAGACTGTCCCCAGCTGAATGTTTTACAGAGGTTCCAGAGAGACCAGCTTCCTGAACATCCCATTAGCTTCACTACTGCAAACACCCCAGTTGGGAAAATTGGTTCTCAATCACAGTCAGAATTAATTTCTCTTCTGCCCCACGTTAGCAGAGCATCGCCGGGCTTTTGAGAGTCTGAAGAAGCAAAGATACTTGAGGGATTTGAGATGGATTTGCACGCCTACCTCATTGTAGCTGTTCTTCTCCTGCATGTGTTTCACGATGAAGTTGGCTCCAGCAATGGCTGGCTTGATCTCATTGTAAAGCTGGTCCTGCAAATCTCCTATGCCGTGGGGGTTTGGTCCTGGAAAGAGTAGGGGGGTGGAGAAAAGAAGGAAGCTGTAATTCAGGGCCGAGGAGATCTAGGTGGGAGGACTATACAGCTCTAGAGAGCTGCAATAGAAGAACCCTGGTGGCGCAGAATGTAGTACTGCAAGCAAATTCTGCCAATTGTCAGCAGTTTGATTCTGACCGGCTCAAAGTTGACTCAGCCTTCCACCTTGCCGAGGTTGGTAAAACGTGGACCCAGATTTATTTATTTATGAGACTTATATACCGCTTTAAGTGCGAGCACTCTCTAAGCGGTGTACACCAGTAAGCAATGTATATATATATATATATATATATATATATATATATATATATATATATATAGTAGGTCTTTGGTTGTTCGGGTTTTCTCCCACGTAAAATTGGAAGTGTCTTGGCGACGTTTCGACGAAGTCCCATTCGTCATCTTCAGGCTGGTGCTTTCAGCTTCGTGCCTCGAGCTGCAGTGTGTGGTCTTGGCTGTTTCTTCCTTTTAACTGCCAGTGGAGGTATGAACTGATTGGCTGGGGGGTTGGCTGTGCTCTGATTGCTGGGGGGTTGGCTGTGCTCTGATTGGCTGGGGGAGTGTTCTGTTTGGTTGTGCTCAGGTTAGTCTGAGTTGCAGAGGGATTCAAGATTTTGGGCTGCCCTGCCATTCCTTGGCTTCGTGTTCGTGGTCGTGCTTCCTCTTCATGGAGGGTGTCAGTTTGCTTCATGTATGGATTGGGGGGGTTTAAAGTGGCTAATGATGCAGCTGTGGTCTGGCTTCTGGTTTGTGGTCGTGCCTCATAGTCAGTGTGGCTTTGGGTTTGTTTTTTGCGTGGATGTTTGGTGGTGACATCCTGTGTGGTTTTTGTGAGTGTGGGTCTGGTATCATTTTTTGTGTTAGGGAGTCGTTTGTCAATGAGGGCGGGTTTCCAAATGGCTGGTAGGCGGGAGGTATCATCTCGCTTGTTCATGCTGTGTGGGCGTTTTTCTATCTCGATGGCTTCTCTGATTATTCTGTTATTAAAATGTTCACTTTTGGCAATGGTTCTGGTATTTTTAAAGTCAATTTCATGTCCTGTGGCTTTAAGGTGTTGGACCAGGGAAGATGTTGGTTCCTCAAAAAGAGGGAACCAACATCTTCCCTGGTCCAACACCTTAAAGCTACAGGACATGAAATTGACTTTAAAAATACCAGAACCATTGCCAAAAGTGAACATTTTAATAACAGAATAATCAGAGAAGCCATCGAGATAGAAAAACGCCCACACAGCATGAACAAGCGAGATGATACCTCCCGCCTACCAGCCATTTGGAAACCCGCCCTCATTGACAAACGACTCCCTAACACAAAAAATGATACCAGACCCACACTCACAAAAACCACACAGGATGTCACCACCAAACATCCACGCAAAAAACAAACCCAAAGCCACACTGACTATGAGGCACGACCACAAACCAGAAGCCAGACCACAGCTGCATCATTAGCCACTTTAAACCCCCCCAATCCATACATGAAGCAAACTGACACCCTCCATGAAGAGGAAGCACGACCACGAACACGAAGCCAAGGAATGGCAGGGCAGCCCAAAATCTTGAATCCCTCTGCAACTCAGACTAACCTGAGCACAACCAAACAGAACACTCCCCCAGCCAATCAGAGCACAGCCAACCCCAGCAATCAGAGCACAGCCAACCCCCCAGCCAATCAGTTCATACCTCCACTGGCAGTTAAAAGGAAGAAACAGCCAAGACCACACACTGCAGCTCGAGGCACGAAGCTGAAAGCACCAGCCTGAAGATGACGAATGGGACTTCGTCGAAACGTCGCCAAGACACTTCCAATTTTACGTGGGAGAAAACCCGAACAACCAAAGACCTACATACAAATACCCGCGAAAACCTCAGAAAACATATATATATATATATATATATATATATATATATATATATATATATATATATATATATATATATATATATATATATATATATATATTTACATTGCCCCCAAAATCTGGGTCCTCATTTTACCTACCCCGGAAGGATGGAAGGCTGAGTCAATCTTGAGCCGGTGAGATCTGAACCGCTGACCTGCTGAACGCAGTCAGCTAAAGTGGCCTGCAGTACTGCACTCTAACTGCTGCGCCACCTCGGCTTGTTGGGGGCAATAGGCTGACTCTGTAAACCGCTTAGAGCAGCAGGTCCCAACCTTTTGAGCATCAGGGACCGGTTCTGTGGAGAAAGGTTTTTCCACAGACTGGAGGAGCTGTGGTTTCACGTGCTGTCTGCATCCTGCAGACGGGGCTTTGCTTGTTTAGGTGGCTCAGTTTCTGACATGCCACAGACTGGTGCCAGTCCATGGACCGTCTGCTTCAAATCCACACCTGTTCTGGTGTCCTTGAAAAGGTTTCAGGCTCTCATGGGTTTTCAGCTGAATTGTAGAAGGTTCATTCCTCTATGTCAGTGGTTTTCAACCTTTTTAATGCCGCGACCTCCAACCGGTCGTAAGTCGAGGACTACTCAACCGGTCGTAAGTCGAGGACTACTCAACTGGTGCAGCACCGTTTGCAGAATGGGACTTTTGGCGGGCTCAGCAGGGCAGAGACAGCCTGGACAATTCCTATTGGCTTTTGAAAGCCAATAGAATTAGACTCTATTCAAGAGAGTCTCTTCTATTGGCTTTCAAAAGCGAATAGAATAAAAGGGAGTAGCACAGCTAAGGAAAAGGGGGGAAAAATGGCGGACTGTGTTGTTTGGCGACCCCCATGAAATAGCCGTGCGACCCCAAATGGGGTCCCGACCCCCAGGTTGAGAACCACTGCTCTATGTAACCCAGAGATCCCCAAGACCCGGTTCGTGGACTGGTAGCAGGCCGTGGCATGCCAGCAACCGGGCCGCACAAATAAGCAAAGCCCCATCCACGGGATGCAGTTAGCACACAAAACCACGCACTCTCCGGTCCGTGGAAAAACCTCTCTCCACAGAACTGGACCCTGGTGTCCAAAAGGTTGGGGACCTCTGATGTAACCCACTTGAAAGTAACACCTCCCCCCTTAATCTGAAGGCGGCACGTAGCTGCCACACTTTCATCCTTGACCATAGTATTCGTGCAGGTTATGAACCAGGGCATTTAAAAGTCATCAGATGATACTGGATTAGTGTAAGGACCCACCCCACTTTGCATCTTACGAAGACAGAACTCTTGGAATAATTCTTCCAACAGGCATCCTTTCTTAAGAGAAAATGGTTGCAGGTGTTCTAGACAGGACTTGGGGTCCGAGCTCTCCCGTTCAAGGTTTTAAGGGGTTTCCCAGTAGCCCCACCCAATCACCCCCTTCTTCCAGCGACAGTCTCAGGCATTACACTCCCACCCCCTTTTCCTTACTGCCGGCTGGATGGAGACTTCAGAAAGAACTACATGAAAGGTAATAGCCCCATTGTTATGGTTAGGCCTTTTGGTGTTATCCACATTCAGTTCCTTTGAAGTGTACCAAAGGAAGTGAGGCCCATAAAGCCCCTTTGTTCACCCCCTTCCCTTCCTTGTATGACAGAATCCTGAGAAGGCAGAAATGGGGTTTTCTATAGTTGATAACTAGAGATGAAATATAATTGGATTCTGACAATTAGAGAAGTTTTCAGTGGTGTCCATGCTGCCATCAGACATGAAAACTGAACCATAACCACTGGACCCTCCTTTTCTCCATTCCCATTGCTCTTTCAGCCTTACGTGCAGGGGTAATCCGGCTAGTTAGGCCGTGTCTCTCCGACTGCTTCTCAAACATGAGCTCACTGCGGGACTTAATGGTGAAATATTCCTCTGCCTTGACGATGTAACCGACGGAGCTAGAACGCCGCATCAGAAAGCTGCCCTGCGGCGTGGGATCACTCTGGGCCGGCTTGGACATGTGCAGGAGGCGAGGAAGGGTGTCAAGAAAGAACTGCGGATCAAAGAAGAAAGAAAAGTGATTTTCAACTTCCCAGTCTGGCCAGGCGCTTAAAGATCTCCTGATGGTGCCCCATCCAAGTGCCGAAATAAACCCAGGTGGACGAGACGCAGCCACATAGCTGTGTCTGCCAGAACGGACCCTCCGAGAAGCAAACAATGCAGAAAGAATGGGAAATGTTTGAAATCTATGGAGCTTCGCAGTCATCTGAGTCATGATTTCGTCCCCAAGGCAACTGAGGATGCTTCTTGGATGAGAAGTGAAACATCTTAGAGAAAAAAACTGTGAGAGGGATCTCAGAGTCCTAGTGGACCATCAGATATTATAATAATAATAATAATAATAATAATAATAATAATAATAATAATAATAATAATAATAATAATGGGACTTCAGAATTCAAACAGACAAGCACTTGCAACATAACACCCCAGACTTAACAATTGTCGATAAGAAAGACAAAAAAGTCTGGATAGTGGATATGGCAGTGCCTGGAGACAGCAGAAAGAACTGGAGAAGATAACAAAATACAAAGACCTACAAATAGAAATAGAAAGACTGTGGCAAAAGCAAGCAAGGGTAGTACCAATAGTAATAGGCTCCTTGGGTGCAATCCCAAAACAACTGGAGCACCACTTGAACACCATTGGCATTGACAAATTTGCTATTAGTCAATTGCAAAAGGCGGCCTTACTAGGAACTGCTTCCATCCTGCGACGATATCTGTAATACCATCAAACATCCACATCTGCCTATCCCAGGTCCTGGGTAAGGACTCGATAGGTAGACAAAATGCCAAATCCAGTCTGAACATCTGGCTGACTGTGCGATGATCCATAATAATAATAATAACAACAACAACAATATAGGAGTAGTAGTAGTAATAATAATAATAATAATAATAATAATAATAATAATAATAATAAAAAGTTGGAAGGGACCTTGGAGGTCATCTAACCCAACCCCTGCTCAGGCAGGAAACCCTATACCATTTCAGACCAATGGCTGTCCAGTCTCTTCTTAAAAACTTCCAGTGTTGGAGCATTCATGAGCCAGCCGTATGCTGCAGCTGCCAAAAAAGCCAACACAGTGCTAGGCTGCATTAATGGAGGGAGAGAATCCAGATCACGTGAAGTGTTAATACCACTTTACAAGGCCTTAGTAAGGCCACACTTGCATCCAGTTTTGGTCACCACGATGTAAAAAAGACGTTGAGACTCCAGAAAGAGTACAGAGAAGAGCAACAAAGATGATTAGGGGACTGGAGGCTGAAACATATAAGGAAAGGCTGCTGGAATTGGGTATGTCTAGTTTAACGAAGAGAAGGACGAGGGGGGACATGATAGCTGTCTTCCAATATCTCAGGGGCTGCCACAAAGAAGAGGAAGTATTATTATGAAAATAAAGTCCAGTTGGCTTCTGAAAAAGCATCTTTGGGACAATGGGAAGTGTTAGCCATTGTAAGAGTATGTGAGCAAGGCCTTTGGAGACACGTTCAAAACACGCCATCAAGGAAATGGGTAGAGAACAGACTGCTTAGCCCGCAGCTGCAGAACAGGCAGGGCAAGAGGCTTAGAAGGGACCCTCCCGACTTTCTTAAGCTGCAAAGGAGCCAGGAGAAAAAACCTGACTGCAAAATTCGGTTAAGCTAGCTTCACCAACAAATAGAATTCGTTTCTCTGCTCGTATTGCCCGTCTGAGCCCACTAGGATAAACCAAGGTTTCTAAAATTATGAGAACCTTGAAAAATGGGTAAATTCAGTCCCTGCTTCAAACAAGTGGTCTGAAAAGAGTTTCTGAATTTAACGGGAGACAAAGCATTTTTGGTCTCTTTTTATTTTACAGGAATATTGACTTGGGGAAATTCCTGGCTAACAGTTTGGCCTTTCCCTTGGCCCCCTCCTCTCAATTTTCTGTACAGGTAGTCCTTGATTTACAACGGTTGGTTTAGCGACTGTTCAAAGTTACAACGCCGCTGAAAAAAAAGGGACTTAACGACCAGTTTTCAGACTTACGACCGTTGCGGCACCCCCCCGTGGTCACGAGATCAAAATTCGGATGCTTGGCAACTGGCTCATATTTATGACGGTCGCAGTGTCCCCCGGGGTCACGTGACCCCCCTTTTTTTGCAACCTTCTGACAAGCAAAGTCGATTGAGCGAAGCCCGTGTCAACGCTGCTAACATCGGATGTCCTTGCTTTGACAACATATGGAGATGCAGCCATTTTCCTTCTTATGTTTTGCTCTTAGAGTTAGAATTAGATGATACTGGGGGGGGGGAGGAGCAGGAGGAATGTGCGTGGGAGTTTAGTTAGACATAACAATACTGTAACTAGTGTGTGAACCAAGGGTTTTTGAAATAAGAGATGATAAGAATTGGCGGGCTGGAGAACTGGAGGGGAAGCCTGCATTTCAAGCTAATTTGGAGAATGTGATTTATGACTGTTAATTGGAGGAGGGAATTGTGCTTTGATACTATGTGCTCAGGGGAGGGGAATCCAGTTTTTGGCTTCAATTGTGTTAGTGCCGATGCTATGTTACTCGAATAAAGATTCTTTACAGTAAACAATGCCTCAAAGTTCTTCGACGAGTTTCATCTGTCGGAACTACAACAGCCCAATTCACTTCACAACCTTGTTACTGCAGTGATTCACTTAACAACTGCGGCAAGAAAGGTTGTAAAATGGGGCAAAATTCACTTAGCAACAGAAATGGCGGGCTCAGCTGTCTTCATAAACCCAGGACTACCTGTGTAACTGGAGGCAAAAGGCACAATATGTCTGCCAAACAGACAGCCACTAAATGACTAAGCTGCTCTTTGACTGTAATTGATTAGGTTTGATTTGATCGCTTCCAAGACAACCCATCTAGGAAAACTGAACAGTACCATAGGATTGGATGGAACAGCCGGAAACCTTCCAAGCAGAGGGATCCATGGGAGGTCAGAAAAGTCAAAATGGCTGCCATAAAGCAATTGAAGCTCCCCCCTTTCTGTAAAAAAGTGTCCCAATGCAGGTCATCCTCAATTTATGACCACAGTTGAGCCCAAAACATCTGTTGCTAAATGAAGACAGTTGTTAGATGAGGTTTGCCCTGTCCTACGATCTTTCTTGCCACAATTATTAAGTGATCACTGGTGGTAAGTGTGAAAATCCGTCATAAGTTGTTGTAACTTTGAAGGGTCACTAAATGAACTATTTAGAATGGAATAGAGTTGGAAGGGACCTTGGAGGTCTTCTAGTCCAGCCCCCTGCCCAACCAGGAGAACCTATGTCATCTCAGACAAATGACTGTCCAGCCCAGGGGTAGGCAACCTGGGCTCTTTTATGACTCGTGGACTTCAACTCCCAGAATTCCTGAGCCAGCCATGCTGAAAGAAAAGGGAGAGGTTTCCAAGCTGAGCCATGCTGGCTCAGGAATTCTGGGAGTTGAAGTCCACAAGTCATGAAGGGGCCATAGTTCCCTCATGCTAGCTCAGGAATTCTGGGAGTTGAAGTCCATGAGTCATAAAAGAGCCAAGGTTGTCTACCCCTGGTCCAATCTCTTCTTAAAAATTCTATACATTGAATTGTTCCTTCCGGCTTACCTCTTTCGTCCATTCAGACAAGACATGGGTGCTGGGGGTCCGAAAATGAAAGTTGAGCTCCATGGTGCACGTCACCACGACCGCGGTCACAAGAAGCATGATGAACAGCAGGTACCTATTGGCAGTAGACATGACCATTTATAAAGTCAAGGCTAATTTTTTTCAGATGTTTATTTCCTGTTTCCTTTTTCCCTCTGAAGGATCTCGAAAGAGTCCAGAAGCGTCTGCTGGGTCATTCAATGCCTGGGTTATAACATTATCATCTGGGAAGTCACCCCACCCCGCGCCAGAGAAGGAAATATTAAAAGGGCAGAACAATATATTTCCTCAATGGATCTTAAAGAGGCAGAAAAGCATGCCCAGTTTTTCTTAATAGCCCCAAGTCTCCCTCCCCCAAGCAGAAACCAGCTCTGTAGAAATGCAGATGTAAATAATCCATTCAGGAAGGTTGGAGCCCTCCAGCTAGAAATTTAGGAAGACAAAGACACCTAAAATCTACATACCCCACCCAAACTCTAAGACAGGACATAATAGCATTAACCCACAGATGCCAAAGGGGCACTCTCAGACTCAGATCAAAGTACATGACACAGGAAATACAAAGCCTCAAACAGGAACAGGAAACAACTCCAAACAAAAGCCCAAGAGGGTATAAAAACCCACCCCTACTACATGTGCTCACTCTTTTCTTCCAGAGCCATCTTTCTGTCTGGCTCTCCTCTTCAATAAACTGCAACCGTCTTTCTAAAGCAGTCTCCATTTCATTTATTCCCAGCTTGGACTGGACCCTGATGAAGACTTTTCCTTCTAGAATCATGCCAATAATGTCATGAGATATATATGATGTCATAGGAGGCAGGGCTCAGAATGCTAAAGTCTATACCAGGGGTAGGCAACCTTGGCTCTTTTATGACTCGTGGACTTCAACTCCCAGAATTCCTGAGCCAGCATGGCTCAGCTTGGAAACCTCTCCCTTTTCCCTCAGCATGACTGGCTCAGGAATTCTGGGAGTTGAAGTCCATGAGCCATAAAAGAGCCAAGGTTGCCTACCCCTGGTCTATACAGACCGTTCTCCACTTGCGACAATTGAGATCAGAACTTCTGTCGCTTAGTGGCGCGGTCATTAAGGGAGTCAGACTCAATTTTACGACCTTTTTTGCTGCGGTTGTTAAGCGAATCCAGTTTCTTCCATTGATTTTGCTGGCCACAAGGCCACAAGGGATGATTGCAAGTGGCAATCCCGTGATCTTGGAAGGCTGCAGACATCATAAGTACATGTCAGTTGCCAAGCTTTTGAATTCTGATCACGTGGACGGTGGGGACGCTGCAATGTCGTAAGTGCAAGGAGCGATCCTAAGACACTTTTCCCATTGCTGGCGTCACTTTGAATAGTTGTTAAACGAATGGTTCTAAGTTGAGGACTACCTGTACGGGGCAGTGATGCAGATGTTGAATTGGCACGAAGGAGAAACAGATTTGAGTCCAGCCTTGGGCATAGATTTTCAGCCATTTGCATTCTTTCAGACCAGCCTACCCCACAGGGTTATGATGGGAAAAAAGAGGGAAATGGACCACTGTCACGCAACACACAAACCAACTAAACTTCAAAACATTCTACCTAGCAACCCCAGAAGAAAAAAACAGGAGCCATTCTACAACATACAATGTCAGACGTGCAGCAACCACTACAGGGAGCAGACTGGCAGAACTCATCCATGAACACCAACTGGCAGTCAGAAGGCCTGACGAAAATTCTTTAATTTCATCACATGTACTGGGACTGGAAGCTAAAACATATAAGGAAGGGATGCTGGAATTGGATATGTCTAGTTCAGTGAAGAGAAGGACGAGGGGGGACATGATAGCCGAGTTCCAATCTCTCAGGGGCTGCCCCAAAGAAGAGGGAGTCAAGCTATCCTCCAAAGCACCTGAAGGCAGGACAAGAAGCAACGGATGGAAACTCATCAAGGAGAGAAGCAACCTGGAACTAAGGAGGAATTTCCTGACAGTGAGAACAATTAACCAGTGGAACAACCTGCCTCCAGAAGCGGTGAATGCTCCAACACTGGAAGTTTTTAAGAAGAGCCTGGACAGCCATTGGTCTGAAATGGTATGGTTTCCTGCCTGAGCAGGGGTTGGACTAGATGACCTCCAAGGTACCTTCCAACTTTTTATTTTTATTATTATTGTTGTTGTTGTTGTTATTGTTGTTATTATTATCAATCATCGCACAGTCAGCCAGATGTTTAGACTGGATTTGGCATTTTGTCTACCTATCGAGTCCTTACCCAGGACCTGGGATAGGCAGATGTGGATGTTTGATGGTATTACAGGTATCGTCGCAGGATGGAAGCAGTTCCTAGTAAGGCCGCCTTTGGCAATTGACTAATAGCGAATTTGTCAATGCCAATGGTGTTCAAGTGGTGCTCCAGTTGTTTTGGGATTGCACCCAAGGAGCCTATGACTATTGGTATTACCCTTGCTTGCCTTTGCCACAGTCTTTCTATTTCTATTTGTAGGTCTTTGTATTTTGTTATCTTCTCCAGTTCTTTCTCTTCTATTCTGCTGTCTCCAGGCACTGCCACGTCCACTATCCAGACTTTTTTGTCTTTCTTATCGACAATTGTTAAGTCTGGGGTGTTATGTTGTATTATTATTATTATTATTATTATTATTACATGTAGACAGATTTAACCATAGTTTCAATTGGGAACATGTGACCATCTTAGACTGGGCCAAGCCCAAAAACGCCAGGAAGTTTCTAGAAGCCTGGCACTCTGACAAATCAGCCATCAATAGACGCATAGACATTAACAACATCTATAGACTATGCAAAAGAGACAATCAACCAGCCCCAAAGGGAAAAAGACTCCAGCAATTCTCCACCAGCAATCAGCAAGTTCGCACCACTTCAATAAAACCGGTAGCTATTTTTTTGTTTTTCCAGGTCCATAATGGACTTCCGGAAGTGGCATCCACGCAGAGAACCGGTTGTTCACCTATGTGAATCCCACCAGTGGATTAACTCCAACAATCAAGTAAGAAATACCCCAATCAAGAAAGTGGCACAGCGCCAACAGTAAACAGCCCAGCCAAAGAATCTCTAAGACCACCCCCCACCCCCCCAGACAGGCAAGACACCAGAATATAAACTGACAGCAAAAAGAGCACTCCTTACTAGCACTGATGATGCTCCCTAGTTGGGTAACGAAACGTCTGCAAGAAAACAAGCAAGCTCAGAGAGCACCAAGGACCCCACAATCCTTTCTCTTTTTCTCTCCTCCTCCTCCTCCTCCTCCTCCTCCCCCCCCCACTCCGCAAACCTCATTCCTTCTAGCACTGATGATGTTCCCTAGTTGGGTAATGAAACGTCTGCAAGAAAACAACCAAGCTTAGAGAGCACTAAGGACCCCACAATCCTTTCTCTTTTTCTCTCCTCCTCTTCCTCCTCCTCCCCCCCACTCGGCAAATCTCATCCCTTCTAGCACTGATGATGTTCCCTAGTTGGGTAATGAAACGTCTGCAAGAAAACAAGCAAGCTCAGAGAGCACCAAGGGCCCCTCATGTCAACCCTGAGCTGCAAATATTCTCCTTCAAGGGATCACTGTACAGGCCAACTTGAATCCAGGAATGTATGGCAACCTATCAATCAAACCAGTGTTTCTCTACCTTAGCAACTTGAAGATGTGTGGACTTCAACTCCCAGAATTCCCCAGCCAGCATGGCTGGCTGGGGAATTCTGGGAGCTGAAGTCCACAGATGGATAGGTTTGATCTGTCCACACATTTGATACAGATTCCTATGTCACTACTCACTCCTGGATTCAAGTTGCTAAGCCAAATCCTCTCACTTCTCCAGTCAGAAACGATGGCCGTTGCAATCAAAAAAAAAACCTCCAAAGGATCCCAATTTAGGGATCTTTTTTTTTTTATTTAAGATTGGGGAGACTTACTTGCCGATGAGGGGAATGGCGAAGGAGGTGGCCGGGAGACGCTGAGAGATCAGCAGCAGAAATACAGACTGAGCCAAGAGGATGGAGATAGCCAAGGTCACCTTCTCCCCACCTGAAAAGCATGATGAGAACCTCAGAACATCCACGCTAAATTTTTGATACCTCTTCGTTTCCTAGGTTTACTGCCTCTTGGGAATAAACGCACACCCGCCTTCTTTGCATTCCCGAACGCTGTCCAACATGTTTCATCAATTTAATCAATACAGGGAGTCCTCGACTTACGACCGCAATGGGGCCCAACATTTCTGGTGCTAAACCAGACCACGGTTAAGGGAGCTTTGCCCCACTTTACAACCTTCCTGGCCACAGTTGCTGCCGTTCTTAAGTCAACAACACCGTTGTTAAGTAAATCCAGGGTCGCAAAAGGGGGCCACATGAGCTTGGGACCCAGCAACGGTCGTAAATACGAGTCAGCCGCCAAGCATCTGAATTTTGATCCCCTGACCGTAGGGATGGTGCATTGGACATAAGTATGAAAAATGGTCATAAGTCCCTTTTTTCGGTGCCGTTGTAAATTTGGACAGTCACTAAACCAACTGCTGTAAGTCAAGGACTACCCGTAAAGAAATAGGCCTAAGTCAGGGGTAGGAAACCTGGGCTCTTTTATGGCTCGTGGACTTCAACTCCCAAAATTCCTGAGCCAGCATGAGGGAAACTATGGCCCCCTCATGACACGTGAAGTCCACGAGTCATAAAAGAGCCAAGGTAGCCCACCCCTAGCCTAGGCCACTGTTTCTCAATCTTGGCAGCTTGAAGATGTGTGGACTTCAGCTCCCAGAAGTCCTCAGCCAGCATGGCTCAGCTTGGAAACCTCTCCCTTTCCCCTCAGCATGGCTGGCTCAGGAATTCTGGGAGTTGAAGTCCACGAGTCATAAAAGAGCCAAGGTGGCCCACCCCTGGCCTAAGCCACTGTTTCTCAATCTTGGCAGCTTGAAGATGTGTGGACTTCAACTCCCAGAATTCCTGAGGCAGCATGGCTCAGCTTGGAAACCTCTCCCTTTCCCCTCAGCATGGCTGGCTCAGGAATTCTGGGAGTTGAAGTCCAGGAATCATAAAAGAGCCAAGGTGGCCTACCCCTGGGCTAAGTGAACATCAGCAGGAAGCCTAGGATGCTAGGAAAAGGAGCACTTACTATCAGCTGGCAGGTAAAAGACAAGGATGGTCATGAAGGCGATAAGGATGCAGGGGGTGACGATGTTGATGACGTAAAAGAGAGGCTTGCGCTTAATGATGAGGTAGAAGGTGATGTCCTGGTGTTTGTTGCTGTCTCGCGGGACAAGCGGGTTGATGTTTTTACGAGCTGGCCGGTGAACAATATCCCACTCGCCATTCTCTGATTGTGGGAGAGAGAGGGGGGAAAGGAGGGAGGGAGGAGGAGAAAGAGAAAGAGAGAAAGAGAGAGAGAGAAAAGAGAGGAGAGAGAGAGGGGAGAAAGAGAGGAGAGAAGAAAGGAGAGAGAAAGAGAAGAAAGAAGAGAGGAGAGACAGAGAAGACAGAAAAGAGAGAAGGGAGAAAGGGAAGAGACGGAAGAGATAGAAAAGAGAAAAGAGAGAGAAAAAGTTTGTCTCCCCTCTTCTCTCCCTCTCCTCTCTCTCCCTCTCTTCTCTCTCCCTCCTCTCCTCTCCCCTCTCCCTCTCCTCTCCCTCTCCTCTCTCTCCCTCTCTTCTCTCTCCCTCCTCTCCTCTCCCCTCTCCCTCTCCTCTCTCTCCCTCTCTTCTCTCTCCCTCCTCTCCTCTCCCCTCTCCCTCTCCTCTCCCTCTCCTCTCTCTCCCTCTCTTCTCTCTCCTCCTCTCCTCTCCCCTCTCCCTCCCTCTCCTCTCCCTCTCTTCTCTCTCCCTCCTCTCCTCTCCCCTCTCCCTCTTCTCTCCCTCTCCTCTCTCTCCCTCTCTTCTCTCTCCCTCCTCTCCTCTCCCCTCTCCCTCTCCTCTTCCTCTCCTCTCTCTCCCTCTCTTCTCTCTCCCTCCTCTCCTCTCCCCTCTCCTCTCCCTCTCCTCTCTCTCCCTCTCTTCTCTCTCCCTCCTCTCCTCTCCTCTCCTCTCCCTCTCCTCTCTCCCTCTCCTCTCTCTCCTTCTCCCTCCCCTCCTCTGCCTCCCTCTTCTTCTCCCCCTCTCCCCTTCGTTCCATCTCATCTCCCTCATCTCTTCTTCTCCTTTCCCCTCGTCTCCCTCTTCCCTCTTCTGCCTCCCTCTTCCTCTCTCCCTCTGCCCTCCTCTGCCTCCCCTCTCTGCCTCCCCTCTCCTCCATATCATTTCCCTCTCCCTCTCCCCCTCTCCTTCTCTGCCTCCCCTCTTCTGCCTTTGCCTCCCGTCCCCCTCCCCCTCTCCCTCTCCCCTCATGTTCCTCTCCCTCTCTCCCTCTGGCCTCCTCTGCCCCTGCCTCTCGCCTCCTTTTCATCTCCCTCTCCCCTTTTTTCCTTTTTCTCTTCTCTTTCTTTCTTTTTCACATTACTTTTCCTTACTTTCTCTCAACATTTGTATGTCATTCTTTAAAATCTCTGTATGTGTGTATACATGTATATGCATAAGTATATGTACTGTATATGCATATGTACTGTATAGGTATGTTTATATGTATATTTACTGTATATGTATGTATATATATGTGTGTCAATGCAGCAAACATTGGATGCTTTGGCTTTGACAACAGATGGGAGATGTAGCCATTTCCTTATTTTCGCTTTTAGAGTTAGATGATGCTGGGGGGGGGGGATGTGCATGAGAGTTCAGCTAGACCAGTGTTTCTCAACCTTGACAATTTTAAGGCATGTGGACTTCAACTCCCAGAATTCCACAGCCAGCATTGCTGGCTGTGGAATTCTGGGAGTTGAAGTCCACATGCCTTAAAATTGTCAAGGTTGAGAAACACTGAGCTAGACATACTGAACCTAGCATGAGAATCAAGGTTGTTGAAATAAGAGATGATAAGAATTGGCAGGCTGGAGAGCTGGAAGGAGAGCCTGCATTTCAAACTAATTGGAGAATGTGATTTATGACGGTTAATTGGAGGAGGTAATTGTCCTTTGATACTATGTGCTCAGGGGAAGGGAATCCAGTTTTTGGCTTTGCCTATGTACGTGCCGATGTTATGCTTCTCGAATAAAAGATTCTTTAAGGTAAATAAGGCCTCGAAGTTCTTTGAAGAGTTTCATCTGTCGGAACCATGACAGGATGTGTACATGCGTATGCATATGTGTATGCGTATGTGTATGTGTATGTAGTGGGATTTGATCACACAGTCGCAGCCGACATCTTCAGGTGTCAGTCCCATTCCATGAATGCCTTGAAGGCTCAAATGACAGAAAGGCCAGGATGTGCTTAAACAAATAATAACATATACATCATAACAAACCACACATTGCTTGGACCCCAAAGCCTGGCTCATCTTGTGACCCACCAACCCACTTGTGGCTTGTGGGAATTCAGCTAAGGACATTGTTTGAATCCTGTTCCTGTGACTTGAACACCTCGGGTTAAAGCTTGTACGATCCGGCCTATTGTGGCTGCACTTGCCAACCAGACCTAAGCCGACCATGGCTTGTGTGATGTGAAAGACGCAGCAGGCTGCGAGCATTTGTTACCTGTGAATCCTTCCAGGTCAATGATGATCCATTCCACAAGATACGAGCACTGGGTCTTGTTAAGTGTTTTGGACATGATCTGCAGGTCGATCTCATTGGCACTGTACTTCAGGGAGCTGGTGGAGAGAGAGAGAAGCTCTTGTAACACCCGGGCTGCCCAAGTAAGATTTCTGTCACTGCCCACACCCGAGGATTACCAAGACGATCAACAGAATGGAATAGGATAGGATGGGGTAGGAATAGGAATAGGAAGAGTGGAGTGGAGTGGAATGAAGTACAATGGAATGGAGTGCAATGGAATAGAGTGGAGGGGTGAAATGAACTGAAATGGAATGGAGTGGAGAGTGGAGCAGAGAGTGGAGTGGAATGGAGTTGAATGGAATGGAGTGGAGTGAAGGGGGTCAATGGACTGAAATGGAATGGAATGGAGTGGAAGGGAGTGGAGAGTGGAGTGGAATGGAATAAAATGGAGTGGAGTGGAATGGACTGGAGTGGAGAAGTGGAAAAGAGTGGAATAGAATGGAGTGCAATGGAATGGAGTTGAATGAAATGGAGTGGAGTGGAGGGGGCAATGGACTGAAATGGAATGGAATGGAATGAAGTGGAGAGTGGAGTGGAGAGTGGAGTGGAATGGAACAGAGTGGAATAAAATGGAGTGGAGTGCAGTGGAATGGACTAGAGTGGAGGAGTGGAAAGGAGTGGAATGGAATGGGTTGAAAGAATGAAATGGAATGGAGTGGAGGAGTGAATGGAATTGAATGGAATGAAGTGGAGTGGAGTGGAATGGAGGAGTGGAATGGAATGGAGGAGTAGAATGGAGTTGAATGGAGTGGAGCGGGGTGGGGTGGGGCGGAGCGGGGCGGAGTGGAGTGGGGCGAAGTGGAATGGAAGGGAACGGAACTGAACAGAACAGAACTCTTTATTGGCCAAGTCTGATTAGACCAGTGGTTCTCAACCTGTGGTTCGGGACCCCATTTGGGGTCGAACAACCATTTCACGGGGGTCACCAAACAACGCAGTCTGCCATTTCCCCCCCCCCCTTTTCCTTAGCTGTGCTACTCCCTTTTATTCTAATGGCTTTTGAAAGCCAATAGAATAGACTCTCTTGAATAGAGTCTAATTCTATTGGCTTTCAAAAGCCAATAGGAATTGTCCAGGCTGTTTCTGCCCTGCTGAGCCCCCCAAAAGTCCCATTCTGCAAATGGTGCTGCACCAGTTGAGTAGTCCTCAACTTACGACCGGCTGAGTAGTCCTCGACTTACAAGGGTCGCGGGATTAAAAAGGTTGAGAACCACTGGATTAGACACACAAGGAATTTGTCTCCAGTGCAGAAGCTCTCAGTGTACACACAAGCAACAAAATGATAACTCATATATCATAGATATAGTTACAATCATTAATCAGAAGATGTTACAAGTAGTAAATCATAAATATCAATAAGAGAAGGTCGTATAGGAAAGATGAGAAAGACGAGAAGGATAATAACCATACAGCCCTACTACGTGGGTAAATATCTTGAGGCCTAAGACGGGCCTGGGGGAATTAGGTGTTTAGCAGAGTGATGGCAACGAGGGAGAAAAACTGTCTCTCTGTCTGGCTGTTTGGGCACGCAAGGCCCTGCAGCAGCATCTAGAGGGGAGAACTTGAAACAGTTTATGTTCAGGATGTAAGGAGTCCATAGATATTTTCTCAGCCCTCTTTCTGGCTCGTAAAAAAAGAGAGAGAGAGAGAGAGAGAGAACTTCATATATGTAAATTATGTCCTGCTGAAATGTGCAAACCTCAAAATGTTTAAACAGCTATGCTACACCGGAGGATGTAAGGAACAGATGCGCTTTACAGCAGAGTTAAGGTGTGAGTCACAGTGTTTCTCAACCTTGACAATTTTAAGGCATGTGGACGTCAAATCCCAGAATTCTGGGAGTTGAAGAACACATGCCTTAAAATTGTCAAGGTTGAGAAACACTGTGTTAGAAGATCGTACAGCCTTGACTTACAACCACAATTGAGCCTGTAGGATTGTGGAGCTAGAAAAAGAAACAAATTGTGTAGTCTTGCCTAACTATTGCCATCTCGTTTGCGTCAGGGACAAATTTCCTACAAGTGTGGGAAAACATGTACCTGAATGGGATGTACTGGAGGAGGGAATAAGAGAGGATATAGGAATGATGGATGTCTTCCTTATATTGTAATAACCCTGTTGTCTGATTTTCCTTGGCTAACAAAGCTTGACTATGCTAAAGCCTTTGATTGTGTGGATCACAACAAACTGGGGCAAGTTCTTAAAGAGATAGGAGTACCAGACCATCTTATTTGTCTCTTGAGAAACCTATATGCGGGTCAAGAAGCAACAGTGAGAACTGGACACGGAACCACTAATTGGTTCAAAATTGGGAAAGGAGTCCGACAAGGCTGTAATATGCCGTCCTGCCTATTTAACTTATATGCAGAGCACATCATGAGAAAGACAGGGCTAGATGAATCAAAAGTTGGAATTAAGATTGCCGGGAGAAATATCAACAATCTAAGATATGCAGATGATACCACTCTAATGGCAGAAAGTGAAGAGGAACTAAAGAGCCTCTTGATGAGGGTGAAGAAGGAGAGTGCAAAAGTTGGCTTGAAACTCAACATTAAGAAAACCAAAATCATGGCATCCGGCCCTCTCAATTCCTGCAAATAGATGGGGAAGAAATGGAGGTAGTGACAGATTTTATTTTTCTGGGCTCAAAGATCACCTCAGATGGGGACTGCAGCCAAGAAATTAAAAGACGCTTGCTCCTGGGGAGAAAAGCTATGGCAAATCTAAACAGCATTCTAAAAAGCAGAGACATCACCCTGCCAACAAAAGTGTGTATAGTCCAGGCCATGGTTTTCCCAGTTGCAATGTATGGCTGTGAAAGTTGGACCATAAGAAAGGCTGAGCACCAAAGAATGGAGGCCTTTGAACTCTGGTGCTGGAGAAGACTCCTGCGAGTCCCCTGGACTGCAAGGTAATCAAACCAGTCAGTCCTAGAAGAGATCAACCCCGACTGCTCTTTAGAAGGCCAGATCCTGAAGTTGAAACTCAAGTACTTTGGCCACCTAATGAGAAGGAAGGACTCACTGGAGAAGAGCCTCATGCTGGGAAAGATGGAGGGCAAGAGAAGAAGGGGACGAGAGAGAAGGAGGTGGCTGGATGGAGACCCTGAAGCAGGAGGTGTGAGCTTCAATGGACTTCAGAAGATGGCGGAGGACAGGAAGGCCTGGAGGAAAGTTGTCCGTGGGGTTGCGATGGGTCGGACATGACATCGCAACTAACAACAACAACAAAGCTTATAAAGCCATGCTACTAACTTTCTAAAGTATGGCACTTCTGGACGCAACTGCCGCCAGTGTTCAGATTGTGTGCCCACCCAGACTTAGGTCGATTGAAAGTAAAGTGCTGTACCTTTAAGAAGTCTCTGCTTGAGTTTCCATGATTGGATTCTTATGATTGCTCAGGCTTTGCCAAGGGCCAGTGACCTTACAAGCCCCAAACTTTGGTTGCTAAGCAGCACAGTTGTTAAGCAAATTTCGCCCCATTTTATGACCTTCCTTGCCACAGTTCTTAAATGAATCACATTAGACGTTAAGCGAGTAACAGGGTTGTGAAGGGAATCTGGCTTTAAACAGGTTTGGGATGAAACACCTATCTATAATCCGACAAAATTTTAAAAATAAATAAATGGAAAATAATAATAATAGTAGTAGTAGTAGTAGTAGTAGTAGTAGTAGTAGTAGTAGTAGTAGTAGTAGTAGTAGTGGTAAACTGGTGGGATCATAAAATAGAGAAAGTCATAGAAAATGATAAAATTAAACTGCTCTGGGACTTCAGAATTCAAACAGACAAGCACCTGCAACATAACACCCCAGACTTAACAATTGTCGATAAGAAAGACAAAAAATCTGGATAGTGGACGTGGCAGTGCCTGGAGACAGCAGAATAGATGAGAAAGAGCTGGAGAAGATAACAAAATACAAAGACCTACAAATAGAAATAAAAAGACTGTGGCAAAAGCAAGCAAGGGTAGTACCAATAGTCATAGGCTCCTTGGGTGCAATCCCAAAACAACTGGAGCACCACTTGAACACCATTGGCATTGACAAATTCGCCATCAGTCAATTGCAAAAGGCGGTCTTACTAGGAACTGCTTCCATCCTGCGACAATACCTGTATACCATCAAACATCCACATCTGCCTATCCCAGTTCCTGGGTAAGGACTCGATAGGTAGACAAAATGCCAAATCCAGTCTGAACATCTGGCTGACTGTGCGATGATCCATAATAATAATAGTAATTGTAATGATAGGCGAGCAAAGATGCCCACTCCAATCTAAACATCTGGCTGACTGTACGACGAGAGAATAAAAATGAATAAAAAATAATTAATAAGTAAATAAGTAAGTAAAATTAATTAATTAATTAATAACACCAGCAAAACACCCAAAGGGCAGGCTTGATGGACCCCTGGATCTTTTTCTGCTGTCATTTATTCTATGTTTTCTATGTGTTTTTCAATCTTGGCAACCTGAGGAGACGTGGACTTCAACTCCCAGAATCCCCCAGCCAGCTTACCAGAACCTCAGGGAACAATTCTGCCAGTCAAAGGGGAAGTAATTGACATTGATAGGGCAGGCACTGCGGAAGATGGCAGGAGGCAGCCAATATACTCCTCCGTTAGGATACAGCAGGATGTTGGAACTGTACGAAATCTCAAAGTTTCCATCGTTGCTAAGAGAAGGAAAGAGAGAGACGTGAGAGGGAGCGATGGTTCTTCCCAGCCGGATCTTGACAGCTTCCTGGATTCCATCCTCATCCGGCTTTCTCAAGTCAGTCCTTTGCGGTAGTCTGGGAATCCCTCTCTCATTTTCTGGTTATTATTATTGCCATTTACCCAGGTAAGCAAAATCTATCTATCTATCTATCTATCTATCTATCTATCTATCTATCTATCTATCTATCTATCTATCTATCTATCTATCTCTATCTCTCTATCTATTTCTATATCTATCTCTCTATCTCTATTTCTATCCATCCAACTCTCTCTCTCTCTCTCTATCTATCTATCTGTCTCTGTCTCTGTCTCTGTCTCTATCTATCTATCTATCTATCTATCTATCTCTATCTCTATTTTCTATCTATCTATCTATCTATCTATCTATCTATCTATCTATCTATCCATCTCTTTATCTCTCTCTCTCTTTCTATCTATCTATCTCTATCTCTACCTCTACCTCTCTCTCTATTTCTGTCCATCCATCCATGCATCCATCCACCCATGTATGTGTGTGTGTGTGTATGTGTGTGTGTGTGTGTGTGTGTGTGTGTGTGTATGTGTATGTATATATATATATATATATATATATATATATATATATATATATATGTAGGTCTTTAGTTGTTCGGTTTTCTCCCGCGTAAAATTGGAAGTGTCTTGGCAACGTTTCGACGAAGTCCCATTCGTCATCTTCAGGCTGGTGTTTTCAGCTTCGTGCTTCGAGCAGCAATGTGTGGTCTTAGCTGTTTCTTCCTTTTAACTGCCAGTGGGGGTATGAACTGATTGGGTGGGAGCTTGGCTGTGTTCTGATTGGGTGGAGGTGTGTTCTGATTGGTTAGGGGCTTGGCTGTGCTCTGATTGGCTGGGGGGTTGGCTGTGCTCTGATTGGCTGGGGGAGTGCTCTCTGGGGGAGTTTCTGGTTGTGCTCAGGTTAGTCTGAGTTGCAGAGGGTTTTAAGATTTTGGGCTGCCTTGCTATTTTTTGGCTTCGCATTCGTGGTCGTGCCTCATCTTCATGGAGGGTGTCAGTTTGCTTCATGTATGGATTGGAGGGGTTTAAAGTGGCTAATGATGCAGCTGTGGTCTGGCTTCTGGTTTGTGGTCGTGCCTCGTCATCGGTGTGGCTTTGGATTTGTTTTTTGCGTGGATGTGTGGTGGTGACATCCTGTGTGGTTTTTGTGAGTGTGGGTCTGGTATCATTTTTTGTGTTAGGGAGTCGTTTGTCAATAAGGGCGGGTTTCCAAATGGCTGGTAGGCGGGAGGTATCATCTCGCTTGTTCATGCTGTGTGGGCGTTTTTCTATCTCGATGGCTTCTCTGATTATTCTGTTATTAAAATGTTCACTTTTGGCAATGGTTCTGGTATTTTTAAAGTCAATTTCATGTCCTGTGGCTTTAAGGTGTTGGACCAGGGAAGATGTTGGTTCCTCTTTTTTGACTGAGTTCTTATGTTCTTCAATGCGTGCACTTATTCTTCTGTTGGTTTGTCCGATGTATGTGGTGGGACAAGTGGTGCATGGGATTTCGTATACTCCTTGATTTTCTAATTCAATTTTATCTTTGGGGTTTCTAAGGATGGTGGATATTTTTCTGTTTGTGCAGAATGCTGTTTTGATGTTGTGTTTATGGAGGATCTTACTGATTCTGTCTGTGGTGCCTTTTATGTATGGGAGGAGGGCTTTGCCGTTTTCTTGTTCTTTGTCTTGGATTTTAGTGGGGGTTTCTTTTTGGATTAGGTTTGTAATCTTATTTCTATGGAATCCATTGGATGTTAGTACATTGGTGAGAGTGTGTAGTTCGGGTTTTAGGTGTTGTTCGTCAGCTAAGCGTTTTGTTCTGGAGATGAGTGTCTTGGCTACAGAGTTGATCTGTGCTGGGTGGTGGTGTGAGAGAGCGTGCAGATAGCAGTTTGTGTGTGTTTTCTTCTGGTAGATGGTGTGTCCTAGGGAGCCATTTGGATTTCTTGTAGACTAAGACATCCAGGAAGGGAAGTTGGTTGTTAGCTTCTGTTTCCATGATGAACTGTATTTTGGGGTGTAGGCTGTTGAGGTGTGTGAGGAAGTTGTCCAGTTTTTCTTTCCCATGTGGCCAGATTATGAAGGTGTCGTCTACGTATCTGAGCCAGAGTTTGGGTTTGTGATCCGATTTTTCTAGAGCTTGGGTTTCAAAGTGTTCCATGTAGAGGTTGGCAATGACAGGTGAGAGGGGTGATCCCATGGGTGCTCCTTCTGTTTGTTTGTATTTTTGTCCATTATAGATGAAGTATGTGTTGGATAGGCAGTGGTTGGTCAGATCTAAGATGTGTTTGGGGGGGTTATATTTGTTTTGGATAGCTGTCAAGGCTTCTTTGATAGGCACTTGGGTGAAGAGGGATATGACATCGAAGCTCACTAGTAGGTCGCTGGGCTGTAAGTTTTGTTTCTTTATGATCTCTATAAACTGGAATGAGTTTTTTACGTGTGAGGTGATGGATTCTGCATAGGGCTGTAGTTGTTTGGCGAGAAATTTGGCTAGGTTTTGTAGAGGTGAGCCTATGGAGCTGACTATAGGTCTGAGTGGGGTTCCTTCTTTGTGTATCTTGGGGAGACCATAGAGTTTGGGGCATCTGGATGATTTCTCTCTGGGAATGATTCTTTGCTGGATCTCTTCGCTAATGGGGGAGGCTTTTATTTTGGATCTGGTGGTTTTTTCCAGGTAGGTGGTGGGATCTGTATTTAGGGGTTTGTATGTGGAGTCTTGGAGTAGGTTGGTTAATTTGGTTTGGTAGTCAGATGTGTTCATAACCACCGTGGCGTTGCCCTTGTCTGCTGGTAGGATTATTATGCTGGTGTCTTCTTTCAGGTTACGTAGTGCTGTCTGTTCCTCTTTGGGTAAGTTGCTTTTGGGTGGCTTGCTGGTGCAGAGGATGTTGGTGATTTCGAGTCTGATTCTGTTTGCGTCATCGGGGTTGATTTTGGTCAGGCTGGTTTCAACTCCACATATAATGGTTTCAGTGGGGATGTGTTTGGGAGCGACTGCAAAGTTGAATCCTTTGGAAAGGACATTGGTTTCGGCTTTGGTGAGGATCCTATCTGAGATGTTATGCACTGTTTGTTTCATGTGTGGCTGTGAGGGAGGAGGGGTTTTTTTCTGGCGTTCTTGTAGTCTTCGGAGTTTGTTGGTGTGTGTATCTGTCTTGAGGGTGGTCTGTGTTTCGGCTCTCCAGACAGCGAGTTGTTTGGATTTGTCCCAAAGTGCGGGGTGGATCTTGTTGCTGAGTTTGAGGTGGAGTGTGAGGAGATCTTTGTTAATTCGGTCTAGGAGGAATCTTTTTGTGTGAAGTTCATTTATGATTAGGGCCAATTCTGTTCTTTTCAGGATCCGTTTGGTGGCTGCAGAGTTGGAGTGGAATTTCAGTTGGAAACATGTGGGGATTAGATTTTGATCTCGGCAGTTGCATAGGAATGCGAGATCGCATAAAATGGAAGCTCTTTGGACTTCAAGTTTTTCATAGGTCCTGGTCAGATGGTGGATTTCCTCCCCGTAGAGGTTCGATATTTGTTTTCTGAGGTTTTCGCGGGTATTTGTATGTAGGTCCTTGGTTGTTCGGGTTTTCTCCCGCGTAAAATTGGAAGTGTCTTGGCGACGTTTCAACGAAGTCCCATTCGTCATCTTCAGGCTGGTGTCTTCAGCTTGTGCTTCGAGCAGCAATGTGTGGTCTTAGCTGTTTCTCCTGTTTCCTTTTAACTGCCAGTGGGGGTATGAACTGATTGGGTGGGAGCTTGGCTGTGTTCTGATTGGGTGGAGGTGTGTTCTGAATGGTTAGGGGCTTGGCTGTGCTCTGATGGCTGGGGGAGTGTTCTGTTTGGTTGTGCTCAGGTTAGTCTGAGTTGCAGAGGGGTTTAAGATTTTGGGCTGCCTTGCTATTTTTTGGCTTCGAGTTCGTGGTCGTGCCTCCTTTCCTGGGGAGGAAAGCTATGGCAAATCTAGACAGCATTCTAAAAAGCAGAGACATCACCCTGCCAATAAAAGTGCGTATAGTCCAGGCCATGGTTTTCTCAGTTGCAAGTATGGCTGTGAAAGTTGGACCATAAGAAAGGCTGAGCGCAAAAGAATTGAGGCCTTTGAACTATGGTGCTGGAGAAGACTCCTGCGAGTCCCTTGGACTGCAAGGCGTTCAAACCGGTCAGTCCTAGAAGAGATCAACCCCGACTGCTCTTTAGAAGGCCAGATCCTGAAGTTGAAACTCAAATACTTTGGCCACCTAATGAGAAGGAAGGACTCACTGGAGAAGGGCCTAATGCTGGGAAAGATTGAGGGCAATAGAAGAAGGGGACGACAGAGAATGAGATGGCTGGATGGAGTCACTGAAGCAGTAGGTGTGAACTTAAATGGACTCCAGAAGATGGTAGAGGACAGGAAGACCTGGAGGAACACGACTTCGCAATTAACAACAACAACACAAACATATATATATATATCATATATATATATATATATAATATAATATATATATATATATATATGTAGGTCTTTGGTTGTTCGGGTTTTCTCCCGCGTAAAATTGGAAGTGTCTGGCGAAGTTTCGACGAAGTCCCATTCGTCATCGTCAGGCTGGTGTTTTCAGCTTCGTGCTTCGAGCAGCACGAAGCTGAAAACACCATCCTGAAGATGACGAATGTGACTTCGTCGAAACGTTGCCAAGACAATTCCAATTTTACGCGGGAGAAACCCGAACACAAAGACCTATATATATTATATCTATATATATTATATATATATATATATATATATATATGTAGGTCTTTGGTTATTTGGGAGAAAACCCGAATAACCAAAGACCTACATACAAAGACCTACATACAAACACCCCGCGAAAACCTCAGAAAAGATATATGTGTGTGTGTGTCTGTGTGTGTGTGTGTGTGTGTGTGTGTGTATGTATGTATCAATGTGTGTGTGTCTGTTTAGAGAGAGATATAGATATATAGATAAATGATAGATAATAGTAGATAAATATAGAGAGATGAGAGAAATAGAGAGAATATATATATAGCTAAAGATAGAGAGATATAGATATATAGATATATATAAAGAAATAATAATGATAGAGATAAATATATGATAGATAGTGATGAATAGATATAAAGAGATGATAGTTGAGAAAGAGAGAATGTGTGTTTGTGTGAGAGAGGGGAGGAGGGAGAGAGTAATACATGAGGGGGGGGAGACTGCTGCTAAACGCAAAACTCTATGGGAAATTAGCAATTAGAGAGGCTGACTTGTTCTCCAGGACGATATCAGGCAGCCACAACTTGTCTGGTGGGAGACGAAGCACACCGATCCCTCCATACTCGGTCGTATTCCATTGCAGCCGATGATCCGTCCAGCTCTGACAACAAGACAAGGGTACCTGCTGGTCACACCGATCCAATCCACACATTACTCCCTAAGACTCAGGGGTAGGCAACCTGGGCTCTTTTATGACTCGTGGACTTCAACTCCCAGAATTCCTGAGCCAGCCACGCTGAGGGGAAAGGGAGAGGTTTCCAAGCTGAGCCATGCTGGCTGAGTAATTCTGGGAATTGAAGTCCACGAGTCATGAAGGGGCAATAGTTCCCCCATGCTGGCTCAGGAATTCTGGGAGTTGAAGTCCCCGAGGGGGCCATAGTTCCTCCATGCTGGCTGAGGAATTCTGGGAATTGAAGTCCACGAGTCATGAAGGGGCAATAGTTCCCCCATGCTGGCTCAGGAATTCTGGGAGTTGAAGTCCCCGAGATGAGGGGGCCATAGTTCCTCCATGCTGGCTGAGGAATTCTGGGAATTGAAGTCCACGAGTCATGAAGGGGCCAAGGTTGCCTACCCCTAGCCCTAAGTCCTTAGAAGGGCCAGCTTCCCTCTCTGAATCCCCCGAGAGAAAAGGTCCAACTCACATGCTCAAGCCAGACATTGGTCGTGAGAGTTTCATCTGCTTCTTTCTGTAACAACAAGCCAGGAAAAATGGTTATAGCCAACCTTTGAAGAGAAGCTTCGGAAGCTGACAATGAGTCTGCATCGTACAGGCAGTCCTCAACTTATGGCCACAACTGAGTCCAAAGCGAGATACTTGTTGAGTGAGTTCCGCCCCATTTTACAACCTTTCTGCCACCGTTGTTAAGTGAATCGCTCTGGTTGTTAAGTTAGTAACACGGTCGTTAAGTGAATCTGGCTTTCCCCCCCCCATTGAGTTTGCTTGGCGGAAAGTCGCAAAAGGGGATCACAGGACCCCGGAGGACTGCAACCATCATAAATATGAGTCAGTTTGCCAAGTGTCCAAATTTTGATTACATGACTGTGCAGATCTGCGACGGTCATAAGTGTGAAAAATGGTCATGAGTCACTTTTCTCACTACCGGCGTGGCTTCAAACGGTCACTAAATGAATTATGGTAAATCAAGGACTACCTATATTTAATGAAATAATAATAATAATAATAGTAATAATAATAATAGTAATAATAATTAATAACATCAAACATCCACATCTGCCTATCCCAGGTCCTGGGTAAGGACTCGATAGGTAGACAAAATGCCAAATCCAGTCTGAACATCTGGCTGACTGTGCGATGATCCATAATGAAGTTGGAAGGGACCTTGGAGGTCATCTAGTCCAACCCCCTGCTCAGGCAGGAAACCCTACACCATTTCGGACAAATGGCTGTCCAGTCTCTTCTTAAAAACTTCCAGTGTTGGAGCATTTACTGCTTCTGGAGGCAGGTTGTTCCACTGGTTAATTGTTCTCACTGTCAGGAAGTTTCTCCTTAGTTCTAGGCTGCTTCTCTTCTTGATTAGTTTCCATCCATTGATTCTTGTCCCGCCTTCAAGCACTTTGGAAAATAGCTTGACTCCCTTTTCTTTGGGGCAGCCCTTGAGATATTGGAAGACTGCTATCCTGTCCCCCCTCGTCCTTCTCTTCATTAAACTGGACATCCCCAATTCCAGCAACCGTCCCTTGTACTGTATGTTTTAGCCTCCAGTCCAGTCAACCATGGCTGTCTGTCAAGAGGGCTCAGAAAGATCAAACATATCCAGATTGCACCGTTAAAGGGTTTCCTGCCTGAGTAAGGGAGGGGCTGGACTTGATGACCTCCAAGGTCCCTTCCCACTTTCTTCTTCTTATTGTTATTATTGTTATAACTGACAAGAGAGACGCGAGGGCGACCTTACCAGGGAGATGAGATTGGAAAGCATCAGAGCCAGACTGATGTTCACTATGTCATTCTTAGACACCACCGGTCGCAATTTATTGTCGTAGTTCCTGTCGTCAAAGAGAGCCTTGATCAGTTGCCCCTCCATGTTCACACCCAGGGCACCTGCAACAATGTGGAGAGAAGTTGGTTGAACAGGCGTTGAACAGAGACGCTGCACAAAACATCTAAGCCACGCCTACAGCAATGTTTCTCAGCCTTAGCAACTTTAAGCTGGGTGAACTTCAACTCCCAGAATTATCCTGGCTGGGGAATTCTGGGAGTTGAAGTCCACCCAGCTCAAAGATTTGAAGCAATTATATTCTGTCCCAGACAGAACAGACTGCTTTCCGTCCAATCCAAAAAGATAGATAACTCAGAAGAATAAACAGAAAATATTGCTTTTATTTCTAGGAATCCTAAACAATAACTCACTGTTATGTAGAGATACGTCCAGAAACATATTTTGCAATATTGGGTTCATTCCACAGGTAAATTGATATTGAACTTTCCCCTCTTCTTCTTCATGAGCATCACATGTTGGCATAGGATCTCCATGCCGTGTGGCTAGGAGACATGAGGCTGGATGAACAAAAGCCTTCCCATCTGGCTTGTGTCCAGGAAGTCTCCCAATGACCAATGACCTTTTGAGACTCCTCCCACTGACCCATCAACATGCCTAGCATTTAATAACTGCCAGATATTCTAACATACTGATAATAACTGCCAGATATTCTAACATACTGATACCTGCTCTCTAGTTACGGTTACATAGAGCTATATGGTTCAGAATAAATTGCTTTCTCTATTTTCTAGAGGGATGATTGAAAAGGAGACGTTCTTAACAGTAATCCTTCTCTCCAGATCAACCTTGGCAATTTGAAAATGTGTGGACTTCAACTCCCAGAATTCCCCAGCCAGCCACGCTGGCTGGGGAATTCTGGGAGTTGAAGTCCCACCATACTGGCTGGGGAATTCTGGGAATTAAAATCTACACATCTTAAACTTGCCAAGATTGGGAAACAGGGCATTTGCCTGATGGATCAGAAGCCCCATGGATTTGTAGTTGATCTTAAAACCTCGTGAACTTGGCCTAATTTCATAAAGGAGAGAGGGGCTAGGCTGGTTTAAGAGGTGTATGACTATAAGCCAGACATTAAAACTGAAAAACCAAGGAAAAAAATAGTAAATCACTTCCATTCTGTTGTCATGAAATTAGACATATCCACAAGGGGGAAAAAAATCACTTTTTCAAAAGAAAAAAAAATTACGTTTTGGGTTTAAGTGAAGGTCTGACATGGAGAATTTGTGTTTCGTAACTCAATTTTTAGCCACTGTGCTATACTTTTGCCCTGACACTCATATTTTACACGCAGTCACACACTTTGACACATGCAAGATAGTTGCTGTGATATTAGACATATGAGTAGGCCATCAGAAACCATGACATAACTGCAAGCAGAGGAAACACAAAAATAAAGATAGCGCTTATGCTAGCAAAAGGTCATGGGCTTCTTCCTATTCTGTTATTCTATTCACTGTAGGTGCTTCAGATTAAGTGATCGGAATTAGCAGGTGGGCTTGAGTGTGATAGTGTGTGTGTGGGGGGGGAAACCAGCTGGAACAATAGATGAAACTCTTCAAAGAACTTCGAGGCATTGTTTACCTTAAAGAATCTTTATTGGAGTAGCATAGCTTTGGCACTAATATAGTTGAAGCCAAAATCTGAATTCCCCTCCCCAGAGCACATAGTATCGAAGCACAATTCCCTCCTCCAATTAACAGTCATAAATCACATTCCCCAATTAGCTTGAAATGCAGGCTTTCCCTCCAGTTCTTCAACCTGCCATTTCTTATCATCTCTTATTTCAAAAGCCCTAAATTCACACACTATTACAATATTGTTATGTCTAACTAACTCGCATCACATTCCACCTCCTCCCCCCAGTATCATCTAATTCTAAGAGTAAAGCGTGAGGAAGAATAAGGCTACATCTCCATGTGTTGTCAAAGCAAGAACATCCGATGTTAGCAGCCCTGACACTAGCGTTGTGAAAGGATATAAATATGTGCTTTAAAAAATCAGGGGTGTGGCTTAATCTCCTGCGTTGAGTTTTAAGACCACCAACTTTTGCAAAAGTTCAATCTCAATAAAACTCCGTTCCTGGAATCCCAAGTGATCTTTGTTTGTTTTTGAAAATCTGAGCCACGCTCCAGACATAAGGACAGCCGTTTGTCTGAGAAGGTATAGAGTTCCCTGTTTGGGAAGGAGGTTGGATTGGATGACCTCCGAAGTCCCTTTCAACTTTGTTATTCTGTAAGCTCTGAAGGGACTTTCTCCCTGATGGATCTGCGTTAAGCGCCCTCTCCACCTGCTTGCAACTTGATCCATTTCAACCGGACGCTTCCCCTTTGCCAACAACGTGCCCTTCCATGCCTCCACGGACATTCCTGGTTGCAGGAAACGAACTGTGGTTTGCTTGCAAACATTCTGTGTCGTCTTGTCTTTTTGGTTGTGTCTAAAGCAGAGATTCCCCAACCTCTGACGGGCCGTGGCCTAAACGGAATTGGGCCATGCAAGTGGATGAGCACACGCAGTTCAAGTTGTGCGTGTGGTGGGCTGGCGGGCAATCGCATGCCTGCCAGCCTGCTGCTTGTGCAAGGGCTGCATGTGTGCGCGCGCTGGACCACTACTCAGGTGGCCCAGTTCTCCTCTCCCCCCACCCCAGCCAGGTTGCCAAGTCAAAAGTCTAAAGCAAAATTGCATTGAGCAACTCCTATGAGAGAGAGAGGAGAGAGAGAGAGGACAGAGAAAAGAGAGAGAGAGAGAGAGAGGAGAGAGGAGAGAGAGAGAAAGAGAGAGAGAAGAGAAAACGAAAGATGAGAGAGAAAAGAGAGAAGAGAGACAGAGAGGAGAGAGAGAAGAGAGAGGAAAGAGGAGAGAGAGGGGAGAGGAGAGAAAGAGAGAGAGAAAAGAGAGAAGAAAGAAGAGAGGAGAGAGGGGGAGAGAGGAGAGAGAGAGGAGAGAGAGAGAGGAGAGAAGAGAGAGAAGAGAGAAAGAGAAAGATAGGAGAGAGAAGAGAGGAGGAGAGAGAGAGAGAGAGAGATGAAGCAGCTCAAAGAGTCTATCCTACTGGCATTTCCCAAGGATTCCCATAATCGCCAGACAAATTTGAAGTCCAATAAATGTGGAAATTTGGAATAGAGCTGGAAGAGACCTCGGAGGTCTTCTAGTCCACCCCCCCTGCTCATTTCAGACGAGTGGCTATCTAGTCTCTTCTTAAAAACCTCCAGTGATGAAGCACCCACAACTTCTGAAGGAAAGCTTACGCACCGACATACCGGCACACAAGTGCACAAAACAGTTGTCGTCGTGTTTGAGGGACAGTAAGCAGAGGAGAAATTACGTGAGAAGATGGGCAGCTCAAATATGTAAACGGGGAGCCCGCCCACCACGATCCACCCACCACTTTGGGTGGGGTGCAATACTTTTTTCTAGAAGGAAACGCCAAGAACCTGTGGAGACCCTACATTTTTGCACATGACCAACTCAAGAAAAACGACAGACATCTCAGCTTAAGCCCTAGCCGAATCTCCGATCCCAATTTACACCCTGGACGTCGAATGCAGGCAAGAAAAAAGATATTTTCCTGATATTTTTTTCTTCTTCTCCCAGATAATCGATAAGTTTCCAGGTTTCCAAACTGGAGACTCTTAAATACACAGTCTCTGCAATTTCGAAGGGCCAAAAGCAGGACTTTTCTAGAACGCCTTTTTATTATTATTTTGCAAAATGTTGCCCTGTTTTCCACTAGGGCTCTCTCTGTGCCCTCATCCTAGGCATCAGATAGATTCAGGGCATCTTACCTGGCAAGGTGAGGGCACAAAACAGAATGAGTTGAAGAGTCCGATTGTCCATCTCGGCTTCGGCTGGACTTTCTCCCTGTCCCTCCGCAGCCTCTGTGCGTGTCCGGCTGGGCTGAAAGAAGCTTAACTTGGGAATGTGGATGGACAACGGCAGCTGGCAGCTGGAGGAAGGGAGAATTATGAGCCAGCTTGGGAAACAAGAGACCGGCATCCCAGCACTCACTTCCTCTCTCAAAGCAAGAAGGTACATGAACTGGCAGGGCGAGACTGTCTGGCTCCATGTTGGTTGCGTTCGCACATGCTGAACCAGATTGGGTCAAATCTGAGCCAATGCCCTCCCTCCATTGGCTCAGTTTGAGTAGACTGGAGTACCACCTGTTCTCCAAAGCCCCTGAAGGCAGGACAAGAAGCAACAGATGGAAACTAATCAAGGGGAGACACAACCTGGAACTAAGGAGAGATTTTCTGACAGTGAGGACAATTAACCAGTATAACTACTTGCCTCCAGAAGCTGTGGGTGCTCCATCACTGGGGGTTTCTAAGAAGAGATTGGGCAGCCATTTGTCTAAAATGGTTTAGGGTTTCCTGCTTGAGCAGAGGGTTGGACTGGATGACCTCCAAGGTCCTTTTGAACTCTATTATTCTGTCTTAACTCCTGCCTGTTTTTCATGGCTTAACATCTGGTTGAAAGCCAGCCAGTGGGTGAATTGACACCTTGACGTGGTCTAAGTAGTAGTTCTCAACTTTGGCCGCTTGATGATGTATGAACTTCAACTCCCAGGATTCTCCAGCCAGCAAAAAATTCTGGGAGTTGAAGTCCTACACACTGTCAAGCAGCCACGCTTAAGAACCATGGGTGTAGAGCAGGGGTCTTCAAACCTGGCCCTTTTAGGACTTGCGGACTTCAACTCCCAGAATTTTGGGAGTTGAAGTCCTCAAGTCCTAAAAGGGCCAAGTTTGAAGACCCCTGGCGTAGAGCAAGAAGCAGATCAAATGTGTTGGACAAAAGATATAGGGATCTGTGGCCAGCGAAGCACATGGGCTGATCCCTTGATGCGCTGTGCGTTGGTTCCTGTCATAACCTAGAGTAGGAACAGCAGGTGGGATGAGGAAGCAGGGTTAACTTGGTGGTGCCTGCAAAGACCATTGAGGTGTTTTGCATGCCCGAACTCTTATTGAGCTTTATTCTGATGGGTTTAGGTGTGTGTTGTTTTCACCGTTTTGTGAGCCATTCAGGATGCTTGTGAACAATACGAGCAACCGAAGAAGTCTTTTTTCTGCCTTTGAGGATCACCCATCCAGAGTTCAAGCACAAGGAGTCAAGAAGTGCGCTGCAGACAAGCACTTAGTAAGGCAGGCATTCAGATGCCATTAAGTAACAATATCTACTGTTGAAGGAAAAATCTTCATCAGGGTCTACTCCAAGCCGGGAATAAACAAAATGGAGACTGCTTTACAAAGAAAGTTGCGGTTTATTGAAGAGGAGAGCCAGACAGAAAGATGTCTCTGGAAAAACTGGCCACGTGGAGCAGGGAGTGGTGGATTTTTATACCTTCTGGGGCTCTTGGGGTTGTTTCCTGTTCCTGTTTGAGGCTTTGTATTTTCTGTGTTGTGTACTTTGACCTGAGTCTGAGTGTGGCCTTTTAGTATTGGTGGGTTAATCCTATTATGTCTCCTCTCTGTAGAGTTTGGTGGGGGTATGTAGATTTTAGGTGTCTTTGTCTTCCTAATTTCTAACTTCCTGGCTCCAACCTTCCTGAATGGATTATTTACATCTGCATTTCTAAAAGCTGGCCTCTGCCTAGGGGCTGGGGCTGATTTCTGTTGGATTTTTTTGGTGTGTGAGGGATTATTGATTCTAGGGCTCTTTCTTTCTAATCCAGGGGTCTTCAAACTTGGCCCTTTTATGACTCGTGGACTTCAACTCCCAGAATTCCTCAGCCAGCCTCCATTTTGTTTGTTAGATTTAAGACAGGGGTCTTCAAACTTGGCCCTTTGATGACTTGTGGACTTCAACTCCCAGAATTCCTCAGCCAGCGTGCCTGGTGACCAAAACTGGAAAACTGCACTGGAAAAAGTGACTTTTGACTTTCTTCACCCTTAGAACCTTTGCAACACCCTCACGGTCATGTGATCAAAATCTGGCCACTTGGCAACCAGCATGTAGGTACAACAATTACAATTGCGGTATTTGGGGATCACGTGATCGCTATTTGCCACTTTCCCGGCCTATTTCGACAAGCAAAGTCAAGCAGGGGAAGCTGGATCCACTTAAGGTCCCTTCAATTCCCTTAACTGTAGTAACTGCCTTAACAACCGTGGCAAGAAAAAAAAGCCATTAAAATCACATGCAAGTCACTTAACAACCCCCCCCCCTTTGTTTAGCAATGGCAGTTCTGCTCCCAGTTGTAAGTTGAAGACTACCTGTAGGAAGGCACCTCAGGGATCCCAAAAGCCTCTCTGTTTTCCCTTGTATATATATTCAACTTTTGGGGCCTGCCATTCAGCTGGGGATAGGAGAAGCTTGGGATAACGTTCACCTTTTACTTTCCCTCTCCTGCCTCTATCCCAGGGGTAGGCAACCTTGGCTCTTTTATGACTGGTGGACTTCAACTCCCAGAATTCCTGAGCCAGCATGAGGGAACTATAGCCCCTTCATGACTCATGGACTTCAATTCCCAGAATTCCTGGGCCAGCATAGCTCAGCTTGGAACCCTCTCCCTTTCCCCTCAGCATGGCTGGCTCAGGAATTCTGGGAGTTGGAGTCCACACGTCTTAAAGTTGTTGAGGTGGAGAAACAATGGACTAGGGCAGGGGTAGGCAACTTTGGCTCTTTTATGACTCATGGACTTCAACTCCCAGAATTCCTGGGCTAGCCATGCTGAGGGGAAAGGGAGAGATTTCCAAGCTGAGCCAGGCTGGCTCAGGAATTCTGGAAGTCCACGAGTCATGAAGGGGCCATAGCTCCCCCATGCTGTCTGAGGAATTCTGGGAGTTGAAGTCCGTAAGTCACGAAGGGGCCATAGTTCCCCCATGCTGGCTGAGGAATTCTGGGAGTTGAAGTCCACGAGTCATGAAGGGGCCATAGTTCCCCCATGCTGGCTCAGGAATTCTGGGAGTTGAAGTCCACGCGTCATAAAAGAGCCAAGGTTGCCTATCCCTGACCATCTCAGAAAAGTGACTGTCTAGCCCAGGGGTAGGCAACCTTGGCTCTTTTATGACTCGTGGACTTCAACTCCCAGAATTCCTGGGCCAGCCTGGCTCAGCTTGGAAACCTCTCCCTTTCCCCTCAGCATGGCTGGCTCAGGAATTCTGGGAGTTGGAGTCCACACGTCTTAAAGTTGCTGAGGTGGAGAAACAATGGACTAGGTTATCCCCTTGAGAAAGGAAGGCATCTCTCTAATCAGGGGGACGGTTACAGAGAAATGAAAGCTGGAGAAGACCTTGAGATGCGCGCCAACGGTGCCAGTCGCCCGCACGTCATACCACCTGTGGACTGGCTGAAGTTCAAATGGACATTATGACTTTGGTGGGAGGAGGACTGTGGCTAGCCTAACTATACCGTTTGTGCCGGATTTCCCCCGGATCTCGCCTTGGCTCCCTTAACTGTCACCGACCCCTCATAAAAGTATCCTTTTGAGGCAACGCCCGTTTCAAGTGTTCTGCTTTCTTGGGTGGTTAGCCGAAGCGGGTCCTTACAGGAACCCTGAACGTCGCGTGTTTGTTCCACTCTGACACATGGGGGCTGGGGAATTCTGACAGCGGTTAATCACCCTCATAACTGACGAAATTTATTTCCGCTGGACTCCTTGAGTTCAAGTCCACCCATCTTAAAGTTTCCGAGGTTGACAAACCCTGATCTAAAAAGATTGGAAGGAATTCTTGGTTGCCACCCCAACTAACACGCATCCTGAAGAACAGGCAGATATCTCTAGATCAGCGGTTCTCAACCTGTGGGTCGGGACCCCATTTGGGGTCGAACAACCATTTCATGGGGGTCGCCAAACAACCCAGTCCGCCATTTTTCCCCCTTTTCTATAGCTGTGCTACTCCCTTTTATTCTATTGGCTTTTGAAAGCCAATAGAAGAGACTCTCTTGAATAGAGTCTAATTCTATTGGCTTTCAAAAGCCAATAGGAATTGTCCAAGCTGTCTCTGCCCTGCTGAGCCCGCCAAAAGTCCCCTTCTGCAAACGGTGCTGCACCAGTTGAGTAGTCCTCGACTTACGACCAGTTGAGTAGTCCTCGATTTATGACCGGTTGGGGGGTCACGGCATTAAAAAGGTTGAGAACCACTGCTCTAGACCCCTTCCCTTCCAGCAGCCAGGTCTCCTCGGGGGCCAACCTTGCTCCCCAAATGCCCACATGGTCTTCCGGCTTTTGGGCGTCCTTGGCAAGACATCCCTGGTTTGGCCTTCCCGGTAGTGCCCTCCGGTTAGGTCTTCAGAATTCCCAAGGCCAGCGCAATGATTTCAGGCATGCTCCGGTACAGCGAGTCCTGTTCTAGGCCCACCAGACCAAGGAAGCTGGTGGCCCTCTGTCCAACGATGGCTTGGATGTGAGCTCGGTAGAGGCCCTTGGAATTCTTGGAGGCCAGGTCCACCAGGATCTGGGGAACAAGGGAGAAGAGAGAGCAGGAGGGCAATAGCTAAAAAAGCCAATGCATTCCTGGGTGGTATCAACAGAGGCAGAGAATCAAAATCGCCTGACGTATTGGTACCGCTTGATAAAGCCTTAGCAAGGCCACACCTGGAATGCGGCATCCAGTTTTGGTCACCCTACTGCAAACAAGATGTTGAGACTTTGGAAAAAGTTCAGAGAAGAGCAACTAAGATGATTAAAGGCCTGGAGACCAAAACACATGAAAAACGGTTGCTGGAATTTAGAATAGAATAGAATAGAATAGAATAGAATAGAATAGAATAGAATAGAATAGAATGGAATGGAATGGAATGGAGTGGAGTGGAGTGGAGTGGAGTGGAGTGGAGTAGAGTGGAGTAGAGTAGAGTAGAGTAGAATAGAATAGAATAGAATAGAATAGAATAGAATAGAATAGAATAGAATAGAATAGAATAGAATAGAATAGAATAGAATAGAATAGAATAAGCAATAGGATATAGAATAGAATAGAATAGAATAGAATAGAATAGAATAGAATAGAATAGAATAGAATAGAATAGAATAGAATAGAATAGAATAAGCAATAGGCTATAGAATAGAATGGAATGGAATGGAATACAATAGAATAGAATAGAATAGAATAGAATAGAATAGAATAGAATAGAATAGAATAGAATAGAATAGAATAGAATAGAATAGAATAGAATAGAATAGAATAGAATAGAATAGAGTAGAGTAGAGTAGAGTAGAGAAGAAAATAATAGAATAGAATAGAATAGAATAGAATAGAATAGAATAGAATAGAATAGAATAGAATAGAATAGAATAGAATAAGCAATAGGATATAGAATAGAATGGAATGGAATAGAATGGAATGGAATGGAATGGAATGGAATGGAATGGAATGGAATAGAATAGAATAGAATAGAATAGAATAGAATAGAATAGAGTAGAGTAGAGAAGAAAATAATAGAATAGAATAGAATAGAATAGAATAGAATAGAATAGAATAGAATAGAATAGAATAGAATAGAATAGAATAGAGCTGGAGGGGACCTTGGAGGTCTTCTAGTTCAGCCCCCTGCTCAAGCAGGAGGACCTATACTATCTCAGATGATTGTCTAGCCTCTTCTTAAAAACCTCCAGTGATGGAGCGCCCACGATTTCTGGTGGCAAACTGTTCCACTGGTTAATTGTCCTCACTGTCAGGAACTTTCTCCTTAATTCCAGGTTGCTTCTCTCTTTGATCAGTTTCCAACCATTGTTTCTCTTCCCCTTCCTTTACCTTTCTCCCTCTCCCCTTCCCTCCCCTCCCTCTCTCCTCCCCTTCCCTTCCTCCCCCTTTCTTTCCCTTCTCTTCCCTCTCCTCTCCCTCTCTCCTCCCCTTCCCTTTCCCTTCCCTTCCCCTTCCCATCTCTGATCCAACAGGCCTGACCTTGCTCATCTTTTGATCCCCACCAGCCTTGGCCAAGCTATGCTCCCTGCTTGGCATGATATACATTTTAAACACATGCACATCGGCTTGGAAACCCAGAAATTTAGCCTTCTCGCCATTATTTCCCCCCCCCCCCGTACAATTTAAACACCGCTGCGCTCCGTTGCCTCCCTCTCTTCACCCACCGTGCCTCTCCTCCTCTCCTGCTTGGAAGGGAGATGCCCAACCAGTCAATCAAGGTTGACAGATCTGCAGAATAGCCCCCCCCCTTTATAGGTGTTAGTTTTGCAAGGGCAGCTCCATGACAGAGGGGTGCGTCCTGGCAGCTGGGAGTGCTCTCCCCAAAAGAGAAGTCACAGAGTCTTTACATTCTATATGGAGGGAAGTGTGTAGTGGGGTGCCCCAGGGCTCTGTTCTGGGCCCAGTGCTCTTCAACATCTTCATCAATGATTTGGATGAGGGGATAGATGGGGAACTCATCAAATTTGCAGACGACACCAAGCTGGCAGGAATAGCCAACACTCCAGAAGACAGGCTTAAGATACAGAAGGATCTGGACAGACTTGAATACTGGGCACTAACTAACAAAATGAAATTCAATGGTGAAAAAAGCAAGATTCTACATTTAGGCAAGAAAAACCAAATGCACAAGTACAGCATAGGTGGCACCATGCTCAATAGTAGTAACTGTGAGAGGGACCTCGGAGTCCTAGTAGACAATCACCTAAATAGGAGCCAGCAGTGTGCTGCAGCTGCCAAAAAGGCCAACACAGTGCTAGGCTACATTAACAGAGGGATAGAATCAAGATCACATGAAGTATTAATACCACTCTACAATGCCTTGGTAAGGCCACACTGGAATACTGCATCCAGTTTTGGTCACCACGATGTAAAAAAGATGTTGAGACTCTAGAAAGAGTACAGAGAAGAGCAACAAAGATGATTAGGGGACTGGAGGCTAAAACATTATAAGGAACGGTTGCTGGACTTGGGTATGCCTAGTTTAATGAACAGAAGGACGAGGGGGGACATGATAGCAGCGTTCCAATATCTCAGGGGCTAGCCATAAAGAAGAGTGAGTCAAGCTATGTCTCCAAAGCACCTGAAGGCAGGACAAGAAGCAACGGGTGGAAACTAATCAAGGAGAGAAGCAACTAGAACTAAGGAGAAACTTCCTGACAGTGAGAACAATTAATCAGTGGAACAGCCTGCCTCCAGAAGCAGTAAATGCTCCAACACTGGAAGTTTTTAAGAAGAGACTGGACAGCCATTTGTCCGAAATGGTGTAGGGTTTCCTGCCTGAACAGGCAGTTGGACTAGATGGCCTCCAAGGTCCCTTCCAACTTTACTACTATTATTATTATTGTTCCCATAACCAATGTGACTGGGCCACATGAACACATGGTGGGTGTTCGTTAGAAAAGGTTATTGTTAACCACCTAGATTTTTGTGTGGGAAAACTAGCGTTGATTTTACTTCTTTGGGGCTGGGATGCGTATTCAATAAAAATGATCTCTTATGACCACCTCGAGGCCGTAGAGCAGGGGTCTTCAAACTTGGCCCTTTGATGATTTGTGGATTTCACCTCCCAGAATTCCTCAGCCAGCGTGCATGCTGGCTGAGGAATTCTGGGAGTTGAAGTCCACAAGTCATCAAAGGGCCAAGTTTGAAGACCCCCTGCGGTAGAGTTTCTTGAATATTGAATTCGCCAACTGGACAGTTGACACTCACCTTCTGAAAGTTCATGGTGAGATCCTGCTCTGGCACTTGCAGAATCCAGCGGTAGCTCTCCCGCACCGAATGGACACGCTGGGCGGATTCATTCACTCCCGGACAGCTGGAATTTGTGGCCAGGGCTGGGGAGAAGAAAGAGGTGGTGTCAAGGTTGAATCGCTAAGATGCCTGCTAATTTCTATCGCTACTCAGCTTGCCGTAGAAACAGGGATGAGTGGTAGAAAGCGTAGGGAGGATGGAAATGGGAGTCCAAGAAGGCGTCCATGGATGTGAGAGCCTACAAGAATGCCAAGGTCACTAACACAGGTGTCTGACGTAGAAGTGGACCCTTCTCATAATAACCCAAAGGTATATGATTGGGCAAGCTGAACACCTGGTGGTTGGGGGGGGGGTTAAGGGAAACTACTGGTAACAAAGCAGATTTTTGCCAATCAGAGCTGGTTTCGTTTCTTCAGTTCTGAGATGAGTACGCAATAAAGATTTATCATTTGTGGCACTTCAAAGATTCCTTCAAGATTTTTTGCTTTTCAGTTCGTTAATTAGCCAGTTGACATATAGGGTGATTCTCTCAGAGGGGAAAAGCAGAGTCTGAACTACAAGGGCTTCCCGGAAACAAACGTCTTCTCCAGACTCTTGTGGAGATCAACAAAGGAAACACTGGTAGGAAGAAACACCATACTAGAACTGATGATGTTACCTAGTTTGGTAATGAAATGTCTGCAAGGTATGGTTAGGAGGGCACTTACTTTTCTAGCCTGAGCGATCTATGTTTCCTGATAAAATACATGGGAAAATCCAATTGGAGGAAAATTCCACTGAGGGTTAGGGTTAGGTCACCATGAACTCATAGAGCAAAATGGACTTCGCCAACAAGTTCAGAGTGCTCGGATATGGTTAGGAGGGCACTGATTTTTCTCGGCTGCCCTATGTACGTTTCCTGATAAAATACATGGGAAAATCCAATTGGAGGAAAATTCCACTTAGGGTTAGGGTTAGGTCACCATGAACTCATAGAGCAAAATGGACATCGCCAACAAATTCGGAGTGCTTGGGTATGGTTAGGAGGGCACTGACTTTTCTAGCCTGCCCTATGTATGTTTCCTTGTAAAATACATGGGAAAATTCCCATTGGAGAAAATTCCACTTAGGGTTAGGGTTAGGTCACCATCAACTCACAGAGCAAAATGGACTTCGCCAACAAGTTCAGAGTGCTCGGGTATGGTTAGGAGGGCACTGACCTTTCTAGCCTGCCCTATGTATGTTTCCTTGTAAAATACATGGGAAAGTCCCATTGGAGAAAATTCCACTTAGGGTTAGGATTAGGTATGGTTAGGAGGGCACTGATTTTTCTCGGCTGCCCTATGTACGTTTCCTGGTAAAATACATGGGAAATTCCCATTGGAGGAAAATTCCACTTAGGGTTAGGGTTAGGTCACCATCAACTCATAGAGCAAAATGGACTTTGCCAACAAATTCGGAGTGCTTGGGTACGGTTAGGAGGGCACTGACCTTTCTAGCCTGCCCTATGTATGTTTCCTTGTAAAATACATGGGAAAGTCCCATTGGAGAAAATTCCACTTAGGGTTAGGGTTAGGTCACCATGAACTCATAGAGCAAAATGGACATCGCCAACAAATTCGGACTGCTTGGGTATGGTTAGGAGGGCACTGACTTTTCTAGCCTGCCCTATGTATGTTTCCTTGTAAAATACATGGGAAAGTCCCATTGGAGAAAATTCCACTTAGGGTTAGGGTTAGGTCACCATGAACTCATAGAGCAAAATGGACTTTGCCAACAAATTCGGAGTGCTTGGGTACGGTTAGGAGGGCACTTACTTTTCTTGCTCAACTAATCTATGTTTCCTGGTAAAATACATGGGAAAATCCCATTGGAGGAAAATTCCATTTAGGGTTAGGGTTAGGTCACCATGAACTCATAGAGCAAATGAACTTCGCCAACAAATTCGGAGTGCTTGGCTATGGTTAGGAGGGCACTTACTTTTCTAGCCTGCCCTATGTATGTTTCCTTGTAAAATACATGGGAAAATCCCATTGGAGAAAATTCCACTTAGGGTTAGGGTTAGGTCACCATGAACTCATAGAGCAAAATGGACTTTGCCAACAAATTCGGAGTGCTTGGGTACGGTTAGGAGGGCACTTACTTTTCTTGCTCAACTAATCTATGTTTCCTGGTAAAATACATGGGAAAATCCCATTGGAGGAAAATTCCATTTAGGGTTAGGGTTAGGTCACCATGAACTCATAGAGCAAAATGAACTTCGCCAACAAATTCGGAGTGCTTGGCTATGGTTAGGAGGGCACTTACTTTTCTAGCCTGCCCTATGTATGTTTCCTTGTAAAATACATGGGAAAATCCCATTGGAGAAAATTCCACTTAGGGTTAGGGTTAGGTCACCATCAACTCACAGAGCAAAATGGACTTCGCCAACAAGTTCAGAGTGCTTGGGTACGGTTAGGAGGGCACTGACCTTTCTAGCCTGCCCTATGTATGTTTCCTTGTAAAATACATGGGAAAGTCCCATTGGAGAAAATTCCACTTAGGGTTAGGATTAGGTATGGTTAGGAAGGCACTGATTTTTCTCGGCTGCCCTATGTACGTTTCCTGGTAAAATACATGGGAAATTCCCATTGGAGGAAAATTCCACTTAGGGTTAGGGTTAGGTCACCATCAACTCATAGAGCAAAATGGACTTTGCCAACAAATTCGGAGTGCTTGGGTACGGTTAGGAGGGCACTGACCTTTCTAGCCTGCCCTATGTATGTTTCCTTGTAAAATACATGGGAAAGTCCCATTGGAGAAAATTCCACTTAGGGTTAGGGTTAGGTCACCATGAACTCATAGAGCAAAATGGACATCGCCAACAAATTCGGACTGCTTGGGTATGGTTAGGAGGGCACTGACTTTTCTAGCCTGCCCTATGTATGTTTCCTTGTAAAATACATGGGAAAATCCCATTGGAGAAAATTCCACTTAGGGTTAGGGTTAGGTCACCATGAACTCATAGAGCAAAATGGACTTTGCCAACAAATTCGGAGTGCTTGGGTACGGTTAGGAGGGCACTTACTTTTCTTGCTCAACTAATCTATGTTTCCTGGTAAAATACATGGGAAAATCCCATTGGAGGAAAATTCCATTTAGGGTTAGGGTTAGGTCACCATGAACTCATAGAGCAAAATGAACTTCGCCAACAAATTCGGAGTGCTTGGCTATGGTTAGGAGGGCACTTACTTTTCTAGCCTGCCCTATGTATGTTTCCTTGTAAAATACATGGGAAAATCCCATTGGAGAAAATTCCACTTAGGGTTAGGGTTAGGTCACCATCAACTCACAGAGCAAAATGGACTTCGCCAACAAGTTCAGAGTGCTCGGGTATGGTTAGGAGGGCACTGACCTTTCTAGCCTGCCCTATGTATGTTTCCTTGTAAAATACATGGGAAAGTCCCATTGGAGAAAATTCCACTTAGGGTTAGGATTAGGTATGGTTAGGAGGGCACTGATTTTTCTCGGCTGCCCTATGTACGTTTCCTGGTAAAATACATGGGAAATTCCCATTGGAGGAAAATTCCACTTAGGGTTAGGGTTAGGTCACCATCAACTCATAGAGCAAAATGGACTTTGCCAACAAATTCGGAGTGCTTGGGTACGGTTAGGAGGGCACTGACCTTTCTAGCCTGCCCTATGTATGTTTCCTTGTAAAATACATGGGAAAGTCCCATTGGAGAAAATTCCACTTAGGGTTAGGGTTAGGTCACCATGAACTCATAGAGCAAAATGGACATCGCCAACAAATTCGGACTGCTTGGGTATGGTTAGGAGGGCACTGACTTTTCTAGCCTGCCCTATGTATGTTTCCTTGTAAAATACATGGGAAAGTCCCATTGGAGAAAATTCCACTTAGGGTTAGGGTTAGGTCACCATGAACTCATAGAGCAAAATGGACTTTGCCAACAAATTCGGAGTGCTTGGGTACGGTTAGGAGGGCACTTACTTTTCTTGCTCAACTAATCTATGTTTCCTGGTAAAATACATGGGAAAATCCCATTGGAGGAAAATTCCATTTAGGGTTAGGGTTAGGTCACCATGAACTCATAGAGCAAAATGAACTTCGCCAACAAATTCGGAGTGCTTGGCTATGGTTAGGAGGGCACTTACTTTTCTAGCCTGCCCTATATATGTTTCCTTGTAAAATACATGGGAAAATCCCATTGGAGAAAATTCCACTTAGGGTTAGGGTTAGGTCACCATGAACTCATAGAGCCAAATGGACTTTGCCAACAAATTCGGAGTGCTTGAGTACGGTTAGGAGGGCACTTAATTTTCTAGCCTGCCCTATCTATGTTTCCTGGTAAAATACATGGGAAAATCCCATTGGAGGAAAATTCCACGTAGGGTTATAGGGTCGCCTGCTTGAGCAGGGGGTTGGACTAGAAGATCTCCAAGGTCCCTTCCAGCTCTATTCTGATTAATAGCTGGCTTTCTCCCCGGAACAGCCTGTGCCCCCTCCCTGGGATCTGCTGGGTCCTATAGACACATACACAACAAACACAAAATCTGCCATTCCCATATGTTACGTCTTGAAGGAAAAACAAAGAAAGACCACTTGCCTTTAAAAAAAAAAACAGCTTTGTACAGGTACTCCTCTCCTTAGTTCCTTTAGTGACCTTCAAAGTTACAACAGCACTCATTTAGCAGATGTCTCACTTAGCAACATAAAATTTCGGAGGCCTTTGGGGTCGTAAGTCAAGGAAACGTGCACTCTGATCCTTTTTTTGCAATCTTCCAAAGTAAAGAAGCCTAAAGATTTATTTTTAAAAAAATAGATATACCCCCTGGCAGTTGATTCTCCTTTTCTTCCACGGGATCAATCCCCAAGCTGCGTTTCTCTCGCCGAGGAGGAGAACCTGTCGCAAAGCGAGGAAAGAAAGAGATGAGTTTGGTACGTTGTCCCAAAGTTTAACCCTCTAGAAATGAATTTCAGGCCGTACGGTTGCCAACGTCTGGACGATCCTCAAGCTGATAGAGGCAGCGAAACGAAGGTGCAGACCTATACAGATAATCCTCAACTTACAACCGTTTTATTTAGTGACCCTTCAAACAGCACTGAAAGGACCGCTTTGCACATTTACCACCATCGCGGCATCCCCATGTGGTCAAAATTCAGACGCTTGGCAACTGACTCATATTTATGACGGTCGCAGCGTCACCAGATCACAGGATCCCCTGTTGTGACCTTCCCACAAGCAAAGTCAGTGGGAGAAGCACTTTAACTTAACAACCGTGTTATTAATACATAATAATAATAATGATAAAGTTGGAAGGGACATTGGAGATCATCTAGTTCAACCCCCTGCTCAGGCAGGAAACCCTATACCATTTCAGACAAATGGCTGTCCAGTCTCTTCTTAAAAACTTCCAGTGTTGGAGCATCCATAGCTTCTGGAGGCAGGTTGCTCCACTGGTTAATTGTTCTAACTGTCAGGAAGTTTCTCCTTAGTTCTAGGTTGCTTCTCTCCTTGATGAGTTTCCATCCGTTGCTTCTTGTCCTGCCTTCAGGCGCTTTGGAGAATAGCTTGACTCCCTCTTCTTTGGGGCAGCCCTTGAGATATTGGAATACTGCTATCCTGTCCCCCCTCGTCCTTCTCTTCGTTAAACTAGACATACCCAATTCCAGCAACTGTTCCTTATATGTTTTAGCCTCCAGTCCCCTAATCCTCTTTGTTGCTCTTCTCTGCACTCTTTATAGAATCTCAACATGCAGTGATTCGTTTAACAACGGTGGCCAGAAAGGTGGTAAAATAGGGCAAAACTCACTTAGCAGGTGTCTCGCTTAGCAACATAAACTTTTGGACTCCTTTGTAGAGTAGCTGTACTAAATCAACATTTCGGCTTATTTAGTTCTGCGTTCTCCTTCTCCAATTTGGCGCACTTCAAATGCATAGGCCAGAGGTCCCTAACCTATAGTCCACGGCCCAGGACCAGGCTCATGGCCAGCGGGCTGCGGAAACGGTTGGCTAGTGCATGCATGTGTGAGTGCGCATTTCCCCCCACGTGCGCTAGCACCCACGGCTTCCTTGGCACATGCGCACGGGTGCAAATGGGGATACTACCACGGGACGGGTGTCCGCAGTTCGTTTGCGCATGTGCTGCTAGCCCGGGTGCACAAACCGGCCGCTAGCTGCCATGGGGGGGCACGGCCGTTCATGCATGTGCACGCCAGCACATGCGCGAACAGGGCTGCGAGTGCCACGCTAGTGTGTGTGGCCCGTGTGAGCACACCAATTTTGAAGCTGCTCTCCTTCCCTCCGATCCTTCAGAGGGGAAAGGTTGGAGACCACTGGCATAGGCTACACGTCTTGAATGGTTACAAATTAGGGAATTTGCTGCCCTGCAGACTTAACAGAATAACAGAACAGAATAACAGATTTTGAAGGGACCTTGGAGGTCTTCTAGTCCAACCTCCTGCTCAGGCAGGAAACCCCTATACCAGGGGTAGGCCACCTTGGCTCTTTTATGACTCGTGGACTTCAACTCCCAGAATTCCTCAGCCAGCATGGGGAACTATGGCCCCTTCATGTCTGCTGGACTTCAACTCCCAGAATTCCTGAGCCAGCATGGGGGAACTATGGCCCCCTTGATGACTTGTGGACTTCAACTCCCAGAATTCTTCAACCAGCATGGGGGAACTATGGCCCCCTCCATGACTGGTGGACTTCAACTCCCAGAATTCCTAAGCCAGCATGGGGGAACTATGGCCCCCTCATGACTCGTGGACTTCAACTCCCAGAATTCCTGAGTCAGCCATGCTGAGGGGAAAGGGAGAGGTTTCCAAGCTGAGCCATGCTGGCTCAGGAATTCTGGGAGTTGAAGTCCACGAGTCATAAAGTGGCCTAGGCCTAGGCCAGACATAGGCAACCTTGGCCCCTTCATGACTCGTGGACTTCAACTCCCAGAATGCCTCAGCCAGCCTGGCTCAGCTTGGAAACCTCTCCCTTTCCCCTCAGCATGGCTGGCTCAGGAATTCTGGGAGTTGAAGTCCACCAGTCATAAAAGAGCCAAGGTTGTCTACCTCTGGCCTATGCCATTTCAGACAAATGGCTGTCCAGTCTCTTCTTAAGAACCTCCAGTGATGGAGCACCCACAACGTCTGGTGGCATGCCGTTCCACTGGTTAATTGTTAGGAAATTTCTCCTAGGTTGCTTCTCTCCTGGGTAAGTTTCCATCCATTGTTCCTTATCTTGCCTTCTGCTGTTTTGGAAAATATTTTGACCCCCCTCATCTTCGTGGCAGCCCTTCAAATATGGGAATACTGGGTTGGACTAGGACCAATGTTGTTATTATTCTTATTATTCTGTTAAAGAAGTAGCGGGGGGGGCTCCAATCCTGGTTGACCTTGGGCACGTACCATTCCCTGCAAGCCTTTGGTCCTGTCTCTGGGGTTCCACATCTGGAAAGCCATCCTGGTGCAGTTCTTTCTGCAGCTGTTGAAGGAACACCTGACCTTGGATTCGTAGTTCATCCACCTCCTCTCCTGTCAGCTATGAGAAGCAAAAAGTGAGATCAAGGGGGCAGTCCTAATCACGATGGGCCGAGCAGATGAGGTCACGATCCACTTAACAGAGTTGGAAGGGACCTTGGAGGTCTTCTAGTCCAGCCCCTTGCTCGAGCAGGAGAACCCAGGTGGAATGAGGTATGTCTAGTTTAATGAAGAGAAGGACGAGGGGGGGACATGATAGCAGGGTTCCAATCTCTCAGGGGCTGCCCCAAAAAAGAGGGAGTCAAGCTATTCTCCAAAGCACCAGAAGGCAGGACAAGAAGCAATGGATGGAAACTAATCAAGGAAAGAAGCAACCTAGAACTAAGGAGAAACTTCCTGGCAGTTAGAACAATTAACCAGTGGAACAACCTGCCTCCAGAAGCGGTGAATGCTCCAACACTGGAAGTTTTTAAGAAGAGACTGGACAGCCATTTGTCTGAAATGATATAGGACAGTGATGGCGAACCTTTTAGAGACCGAGTGCCCAAACTGCAACCCAAAACCCACTTATTTATCGCAAAGGGCCAGGGCTGCATCAGCATTGCGGTGCCCTCAGGGTGGGCAGGGGGCATGGCCCATTGGGTGGGCATGGCTTCAGTGGTTGCGGCAGTCTGGGTGGGCATCGCCGAGGTGGACGTGGCCACCTTGATGTTGCTCGTGGGGGGGGGATGCCTGTGAGGGCCAGGCAGGGTTGGGGGAGATCCAGACAGTGGCGGGATTCAGCCGATTCAGCAGAACCAATACCTAATGTATCATTCAGTTTGGCGAACTGGTTGTTAAATAGCAATATTATTAATAATAATAAAAAGTTGGAAGGAACCTTGGAGATCAGCTAGTCCAACCCCCTGCTCAGGCAGGAAACCCTATACCATTTCAGACAAATGGCTGTCCAGTCTCTTCTTAAAGACTTCCAGTGTTGAAGCATTCACCGCTTCTGGAGGCAGGTTGTTCCACTGGTTAATTGTTCTCACTGTCAGGAAGTTTCTCCTTAGTTCTAGGTTGCTTCTCTCCTTGGTTAGTTTCCATCCGTTGCTTCTTGTCCTGCCTTCAGGTGCTTTGGAGAAGAGCTTGACTCCCTCTTCTTTGGGGCAGCCCCTGAGATATTGGAACCTTGCTATCATGTCACCCCCCTCGTCCTTCTCTTCATTAAACTAGACATACCCAATTCCAGCAACCGTTCCTTATACGTTTTAGCCTCCAGACCTCTGATCATCTTTGTTGCTCTTCTCTGCACTCTTTCTAGAGTCTCAACATCTTTTTTACATCGTGGTGACCAAAACTGGATGCAGGATTCCAAGTGTGGCTTACCAAGGCCTTGTAAAGTGATATTAACCCTTCACGTGATCTTGATTCTCTCCCTCTGTTGATGCAGCCTAGCACTGTGTTGGCTTTTTTGGCAGCTGCCGCACACGGCTGGCTCATGGTTAAGTGACTGTCCACTAGGACTCCAAGATCCCTCTCACAGTTACTACTATTGAGCAAGATACTCTCTATTCCTTCCTTGCTTCCTTCCTTGCTTCCTTGCTTCCTTCCATCCTTCCCTCCTTCCTCCCTCCCTCACTCCCTTCCTTTCTTCCCTCCTCCCTCCCTCCCTTCCTTCCCTCCCTCCCTCCCTTCCTTCCTTCCCTCCCTCCCTCCCTTCTGTGGTGGTGCAGTGTTTAGAGTGCAGCATTGCAGCCTGACTCTGCTCACTGCCGGCAGTTCGATCCTGACCGGCTCAAGGTTGACTCAACCTTCCATCCTTCCGAGGTTGGCAAAATAAGGACCCAGATTGTTGGGGGGCAAGAGGCTGACTCTGTAAACCGCTTAGGGCGGGCTGTAAAGCTCTGTGAAGCTGTACATAAGTCTAAGGCAGTGGTTCTCAACCTTTCTAATGCTGCGACCCCATAATACAGTTCCCCATGTTGTGGTGACCCCCAACCACTTATACATTACCGGGTACCAAGGGCGTGGCCAAAGAAAAGGGGGGAAAATGGCGGACAGCCTTGTTTGGCGACCCCCATGAAATGGTCATTCGACCCCAAATGGGGTCCCGACCCACAGGTTGAGAACCACTGGTCTAAGGGCTATTGTTAATGCTTCGACAACTCCTGCTCTTCTATTCCTTTGAGTTGCAATGCATTATTCCTGCTTCTGCTCAAGACACAATACCTGCCATTTCGACTTCTAAAGCTCCAATTCCCATACCTGGAGGAAGCGCCTGGTCTCCTGTCCAACAGGTGCCGCTGCCAAAGGCTCAGCTGGGCTGCTCAGCTCCTGCACCCAGTCAGCCAGGTTGGGCCCGATGCCTTGGAACAAGGAGGCAAAGGAAGGGAGGAGGGGAGGAGGGGGGCTGTAAAAGGGAGGAAAAAAGGGGGGTCAGCCCAAGGCCCGAAAAACAGGGTCTTGCTTTCTGTTCTCCATCAATGGACAGTACAGGCAGTCCTCAATTGAGCCCCAAATTTCTGCTGCTGAGCAGACCGTCGTTAAGTGCATTTCCTCAGGTTACGACCTTTCTTTACACAGTCATTAAGGGAATCACTTGGGAGTTGTTAACTTAGGAGCACGGCTATTAAGTGAATCTGGCTTCCCCCATTGACTTTGCTGTTCAGCAAGTCGCAAAAGGGGAATCGCATCACATCCTCGGGATGCCGCAACCGTCATAACCATGAGTCAGTGGCAACTGTCAAATTTGGATCACGCGACCACGGGGAAGCTGTGACAGTCGTAAGTGGGGAAACCAGTCCTAAGTCCCTTTTTTTTTTCAGGGCTGCTGTGCCTTCGAACGGTCACTAAACAAATGGCTATAAGTTGAGGACTACCCTATAGTACAGGGGTAGGCAACCTGGGCTCTTTTATGACTCGTGGACTTCAACTCCCAGAATTCCTCAGCTAGCATGGGGGAACTATGGCCCCTTCATGACTCGTGGACTTCAACTCCCAGAATGCCTGAGCCAGCCATGCTGAGGGGAAAGGGAGAGGTTTCCAAGCTGAGCCAGGCTGGCTCAGGAATTCTGGGAGTTGAAGTCCACGAGTCATGAGGGGGCCATAGTTTCCCCATGCTGGCTCAGGAATTCTGGGTGTTGAAGTCCAGCAGTCATGAAGGGGCCAAGTTTGAAGACCCCTGGTCTAGTCTAATGAAGAGAAGGGCAAGGGGTAACATGATAGCAGTCTTCTGATATCTGAGGGGCTGCCCCAAAGAAGAGGGAGTCAAGCTATTCTCCAAAGCCCCTGAAGGCAGGACAAGAAGTGGATGGAAACTAATCAAGGAGAGAAGCAACCTGGAACTAAGGAGAAACTTCCTGACAGAACAATTAACCAGTGGAACAATCTGCCTCCAGAAGCTGTGAGTGCTCCAACACTGCAAGTTTTTAAGAAGAGATTGGATAGCCATTTGTCTGAAATGGTATAGGGTTTCCTGCCTGAGTAGGGGGTTGGACTAGATGACCTCCAAGATCCCTTCCAACTACTACTACTACTACTACTACTACTACTACTACTACTACTACTACTACTACTTATTATTATTATTATTATCGATCATCGCACAGTCAGCCAGATGTTCAGACTGGATTTGGCATTTTGTCTACCTATCGAGTCCTTACCAGGACCTGGGATAGGCAGATGTGGATGTTTGATGGTATTACAGATATCGTCGCAGGATGGAAGCAGTTCCTAATAAGGCCGCCTTTTGCAAATGACTAATAGCAAATTTGTCAATGCCAATGGTGTTCAAGTGGTGCTCCAGTTGTTTTGGGATTGCACCCAAGGAGCCTATGACTATTGGTACTACCCTTGCTTGCTTTTGCCACAGTCTTTCTATTTCTATTTGTAAGTCTTTGTATTTTGTTATCTTCTCCAGTTCTTTCTCGTCTATTCTGCTGTCTCCAGGCACTGCCACGTCCACTATCCAGAATTTTTTGTCTTTCTTATCGACAATTGTTAAGTCTGGGGTGTTATGTTGCAGGTGATTGTCTGTTTGAATTCTGAAGTCCCAGAGCAGTTTAATTTTATCATTTTCTATGACTTTCTCTATTTTATGATCCCACCAGTTTTTGCTTACAGGCAAATGATATTTTTTTGCAGATCTTCCAATGCACCATTGTTGATACTTTGTCATGCCGCTGCTTGTAATCAGTTTGTGCAATCTTCTTGCAACAGCTTACCAAGTGGTCCACTGTTTCTTCAGCTTCTTTGCATAGGCGGCAATTACTGTCTGTTGCTGTCTTCTCAATTTTGACTTTGTATGCATTTGTCCTTAAGGCTTGGTCTTGTGCAGCCAGAATTAGTCCCTCGGTCTCTTTCTTCAATTTTCCTGCTCTTAGCCATTGCCAGGTTTTATTATTATCTGCTTTTCCAGCTATTTTTTCATGTATTGGCCATGTAGTGCTTTGTCTTCCCATGCCTCTATTCTGTTCTTCATTTGGTCTTTCTTGTAGGCCAGTTTGGTCTCTCCAGTAGTTAGTAAGCCTTCCTGATATACTAATTTCAGTGCATCTTCATCATTGTTCTTCCGATATTCTTCCAAAGCCATTTTTTCTTCTTCAACCATCTGATGTACTTGTAGCATTCCACGCCCACCTATTTGCCTTGGTAGATAAAGTCTATCAATGTCACTGCGTTATTATTATTATTATTATTATTATTATTATTATTATTATTATTATTATTATTATGTTGCAAGGGACCTTGGAGGACATCTAGTCCAACTCCCTGCTCAGGCAGGAAACCCTACACCCTTTCAGACAAATGGGTGTCCAGTCTCTTTCTTAAAAACTTCCAGAGTTGGCGCATTCACTGCTTCTGGAGGGAAGCAGTTCCACAGATTAATTGTCCTTACTATCAGGAAATTCCTCCTTAGTTCTAGGCTGCTTCTCTCTTTGGTTAGTTTCCATTCATTACTTCTTGTCCTGCCTTCAGGCGCTTTGGAGAATAGGCTGTCCAAGCACTGTGAAGCGGTATATAAGTCTAAGTCAGCAGTTCGCAACCTATGGGTCGCGACCCCATTTGGGGTCGATCGACCATTTTTCGGGGGTTGCCAAAGGCGGCGATCCGCCATTTTCTCCCCTCCGGGGTGGCGCCGTGCATGCGCATAACGTTTGTGTGACGGGGGTCGCCGTCACACAAATGTTGAGAACCACTGGTCTAAGTGCTATTGCTCTGGCTATTAAGCTCCGCTCCTTTGTCCCAAAAGCAGTGCTTCAATTGCATGGATGTGGCCACCATCTCGACTCTTTAAAACTGTCTCTCACCCCCCCCCCCGACAGTTGCCCTTCGGGTGTGCAGACCGACCCAAGAAAGACACACAAAAAGGGAGCCTTACCTTTTCATGAAAGTCGGAGCCTCGCGCTTCTGCATTTTCCCAAACTGAGGCGAGGGACTCCATTTTCCTTTCGCCATTCCAGCGTCCGCCTTTGGAACCTGGTCTTTAAGGAAACACAGGTGTTAATTTATAAGGTGGCCAACTTTTTTACAATGAAAAGGAGGACACAAATAAATTGAAGAAAAAAATATCGTAAATAAAAGAAACATTTTATTCATTGCAACAATACAGAATACACTATAATATCATAAATGCATAATAAAAAAACATTTGTAACAATAACATTTTATATTGTAATTATGCTTACATGCCGCACCCCCGCCCGCAGCCGCCCTGCCAGCACTGCTTCCCCGCCGTGTAGAGCGGGCCCCGCGGCTCCCAAAGTACCAGCTCCGGCCCCGGGAGGCAGCCCGCCATCGACACACCCCACCTGCAGCCGCCCCGCCAGCACCACCGCCCACCCTGCACAGCCCTGTGTAGAGCAGGCCCTGCGGCTCCCACAACACGGGGGGCAACCAGCCACCACCACCCCTCACACACACCCGCCCGCAGCAGCCCCGCCCCCCTGCCTCTTGCATCCACAGCCATTATTGCCCTAGCAGGGCCGAAGACCAAGAGAAAGTTACTGTGGCGTCACCGCTCCAGTCTCCTCCAGGTATCTTTGAGACTAACTAGGAGATGGTGTAGTTGGGTAGCAGGGAGGGGTGCAAAGTTCCTGCCAATTTGCCTTTGCTGTAGACAACTTGCATGTGCAAAGTTTGCTGGCTGGGTGTTTTGGCCTGCTCAGCAACAATTCCTATTGGCTTTCAAAAGCCAATAGGGGGAGTAACACAGCTCATTCAAAAGTTGAAAAAAAAACCATCAAAAAAGGTGCTGGAACGCCATCTGAGCGTTCTGTGAGAAAAAAAAAGCCCTGCAGATTAGTCTTCAAATATCGAAAAGGAGGACATGTAGAAGGACACTTTTCGAGGGAGGACAGAACTCACAAAAGGAGGACTGTCCTCCCTAAAGGAGGACGGTTGGTCACCTTATAATTTGGGAAAGAAAGCGGCGCCCGGTGCCATCTCAGGGACGAGAGGGAAAATGGCGGCAGCCACGCTCATTGGTAGAGCTGACAGCCCCTTCTCATCGTTGCCTAGGAAGGTCTGGGTTTCCAAAGCTGCCCGGATTGCTCTAAATCAGTGGTTCTCAACCTTTTTAATGCTGCGACCCCCAACGGGTCATAAGTCGAGGACTACTCAACCGATCGTAAGTCGAGGACTACTCAACTGGTGCAGCACCGTTTGCAGAATGGGGCTTTTGGCGGGCTCAGCAGGGCAGAGACAGCCTGGACAATTCCTATTGGCTTTGGAAAGCCAATAGAATGAGACTCTATTCAAGAGAGTCTATTCTATTGGCTTTCAAAAGCCAAAGGAATAAAAGGGAGTAGCACAGCTAAGGAAAAGGGGGGGGGGAAATGGCGGACTGTGTTGTTTGGCGACCCCCGTGAAATGGTCGTTCGACCCCAAATGGGGTCCCGACCCACAGGTGGAGAACCACTGCTCTAAATCAGGGGTGTCAAACTCAATTTCATTGAGGGCCGCATCAGCATTGCGGTTGCCCTGTGGGGAGAGGGAGGGGCTGGGTGGGTGCGGCCTACTGGGTGGGCGTGGATGGAGTGGGTGTGGCCTACTGGGTGGGCGTGGCCAACTCTATATCATTCGCGTCAAGGATCCCTGTGGGGGCCTGGGCAGGAGTGGGACAGATCTGAGGGTCTTTGGCAGAAAGGGGTGGGACCAGGGCAGAGCCCATCAAGCCGGATATGTGAAGTAGGCCAGGGCCATTTGCTGGCCACTTCCAGGCGATGGTGCATTTCTTCATTCCTCACAAAGGGGGACACCTCCCCAGCATGCACCCAGAGGGCAGGGCCGACACGGCAGGGGCTGGTTCCTCACTGTTTCCAGACAGCCTTGTGGAGCTAAGACTGAATGCGTTTCAGCATAGATGGCCACCACAAAATTGTGCATTGGCTCCTGGCCAGCCTGGGCCAGGGCCAAGGCAGCGGGGGGCCGTTCCCTCACTGTTTCCAGGATGGCTTCGCGGGCCACATGAAACCACTTCGCGGGCCGTATCCGGGCCCCGGGCCTTGTGTTTGACATGTCTGCTCTAAATTTTAGCCAGTCATATTCAACTTTGGCAGGTGGAAGACGCTGGAACTTCAACTCCCAGAATTCCCCAGCCAGCTATCCCAGTTGAGGACACTTGGTGGTTCGAAAGAGGGGTCTAATTTGAAAAAAGGGGTTGTAATGTACTTGTATCCAAAAGCGAAGAGCCCTCTCTCAACAGAGGAAGTGGGGGATACGACTCCGACTATCTCCCGTCTACAACACGGGTCCTTTCAGCGGTTCTAAGAAGGCTCCACAGCCATTTGCACCACTCAGGTGACCCTGAGGACACAGATAAGCCTCCAGGTGGCCTCAACGACCCTCTAAAAATAGGCAAATGACCAGCTGTCTGCAAGGAGTATAAATCCTTCCATTCCCCACCATCCAGTCAGAGCTGAAGAAGCTTCCGAGACGAGAAGGGAAACATCCTCAAAGAAAAACAAAGAAGTCCAGTTGCCTCCTGAAAAAAATCACCTTTGGGACAACCGTGATCTGGATGCCTGAGAATCTCCGTAGACATCAAAACCTTTTGGTTGGGCAAAAAAAGTTTTTTTTTAACTGCTTGTTCGCAGCCTGACTTCTTTGACAACTCCCTCCCCCCCCCCAAGGATGTCTTTGCTGAAAACGAATTTGAGTTATTTAAATGCAGGCCTGTTCCCATGACACATTTTCTCAAGCCCTGTAAAGCACCGCTGCATTCACACAACACGTTAAGCTTGGTTAGGGTTAAGCCTGGTCAGCCACACCGCAGCATTCACACATTAAGCTTGGTTAGGGTTAAACCTGGTCAGCCACACCGCTGCATTCACACATTAAGCTTGGTTAGGGTTAAACCTGGTCAGCCACACCGCTGCATTCACACATTAAGCTTGATTAGGGTTAAACCTGGTCAGCCACACCACTGCATTCACACAACACATTAAGCTTGGTTAGGGTTAAACTTGGTCAGCCACACAGCTGCATTCACACAACACATTAAGGCTGGCTAGGCTTAAACTTGGTCAGCCACACCGCTGCGTTCACCCATTAAGCTTGGTTAGGGTTAAACCTGGTCAGCTACGCTGCATTCACACAACACATTAAACTTGGTTAGACTTAAACTTGGTCAGCCACACCGCTGCGTTCACACAACACATTAAACTTGCTTAGGGTTAAACCTGGTCAGTCATACCACTGCATTCACACAACACATTAAGCTTGGGTTAGGGTTAAACTTGGTCAGCCGCACCACTGCATTCACCCATTAAGCTTGCTTAGGGTTAAACCTGGTCAGCTACACCGCTGCGTTCACACAACACATTAAGCTTGGTTAGGCTTAAACCTGGTCAGCTACACCGCTGCGTTCACACAACACATTAAGCTTGGTTAGACTTAAACTTGGTCAGCCACACCGCTGCGTTCACACAACACATTAAGCTTGCTTAGGGTTAAACCTGGTCAGCCACACCGCTGCATTCACACATTAAGCTTGGTTAGGGTTAAACCTGGTCAGCCACACCGCTGCATTCACACAACACATTAAGCTTGGGTTAGGGTTAAACTTGATCAGCCACACCGCTGCGTTCACACAACACATTAAGTTTGCTTAGGGTTAAACTTGGTCAGCCACACCGCTGCGTTCACCCATTAAGCTTTGTTAGGCTTAAACCTGGTCAGTCACACTGCTGCGTTCACACAACACATTAAGCTTGGTTAGGCTTAAACCTGGTCAGCCACAGGTACGACAACCTTTCCCCCCACCACCACCCTACTCCCCGAAATTCAGCCAATACCTGGGGGGTGCAGGTGCCCTCGATGGGAGAAGAGGTACCCGTAAATTTCTTCCGCAAATCGGGGCACAGAATGTGTGAAGAAAGAGAAATCAATCCGGGTGCGGAAAAATTCTTCCGCCCGGCGCAGGAAATCCAGCAAGCTCTGGAGGTAGGAGCGAAGTTCTGAGGAGAAATGAGGGTTAGGGTTGTTAGATAGCCGGTCCTCGACTTACAACGGTTCATTTAGTGACCGTTTGAAGCCACAACGGCACTGAAAAAAAACGCGACGTATGACCGTATTTCACACTTCACGAGCGTTGCGGCCTCCCTCGTGGTCACGTGATCAAAATTCAGACGCCCTGCCACTGGCTGACTCGTACTTATGACGGCGGCAGTGTCCCGGGGGGGGTCATGTGATCCCCCTTTTCTAACCAGCCAAGTCAATGGGGCGGGGGGGGGGGGAAGCCAGATTCACTTAACGACCTGTGACTAACTTAACAGCTGGGGTGATTCGCTGAACGTGAGTAGCAAGAAAGGTGGTAAAACAGGGCAAAAAATGTTGCCCTTGGCGACAGAAATTCTGGGCCCGTGGGTCGTAAGTTGAGGACCGCCTGCGTTGTGGGTTCCATTTTAGTCGGGATTTGAAGGGGAGGGGAGGGGATTCAAACTCTTCTCCTGGATGCAGTGATCTGCTTTGCTTTTTTTTTTTAATCTCCCTGCCCCCCCCTTTTTTTCCCCTCCTTTCTTTCCCTCTTCCCCTTCCTTCTTTCTTTCTTTCCTTCCCTTTCTCTCCTACACTGCTTCCTTCTCTTCTTGCTCTTTCCTCCCTCCTCTTTCTCTTCCTCTTTGAATCCTCTTCCCATCCTTCCTCCCCTCCGTTTTCCTTCTTCCTTTTCTTCCTCTTCCCTCTTCCCTTCTCCCCCTCCCTTCGGTCTTTCCCCTTCCCCTTTTCTCTCTCCTTTTTCTCCCTTGCGCTTCCTCTCCCCATTCCTGTCTTCCCCTTACTCTTTTCTTTCCTTCCTTCTTCTTCTGTCCTTCCTTTCCCTCCTTTCTCTCCCATTTCTCTCTTCTCTCATCCTCTGGCCCTGCTTTCCTTCCTTCCCTTTTTTCTTTTCCCTTTTCTTCCTCTTCCTTGTTCTTCCTTTCTCTCTTCCCTTCCTTCTGCTACTCTTCCTCTTCCCTTCCCTCCCTTCCTTCTTCCTTCCTTCCTCGCTCCCTTCCTTCCTCGTTCCCTCTTCCCTTCCTTCCTTTCTCCCTCCCTCCTCCCTTCCTCCCTCCCTCTTCCCTTCTTTCCTTTCTCCCTCCCTCCTCCCTTCCCTTCCTTCCTTCCCCTTCCTTCCTCCCTCCTTTTCTTCCTCCCTCCTCCCTTCCCTTCCTTCCTTCCTCTTCCCTTCCTTCCTCCCTCCCTTTCTTCCTTCCTCACTCCCTCTTCCTTCCTTCCTCCTTCCTCCCTCCCTCCCTCTTCCCTTCCTTCCTCCCTCCCTTCCTCCCTTCCTTTCTCCCTCCCTCCTCCCTTCCCTTCCTTCCTTCCTTCCTCTTCCCTTCCTTCCTTCCTCCCTCCTTTCCTTCCTGCCTCCCTCTTCCCTTCCTTCCTTCCTCCCTTCCTCCTTCCTCCCTTCCTCCCTCCCTCTTCCCTTCCTCTTCCCTTCCTTCCTCCCTCCCTCCCTTCCTTTCTTCCTTCCTTTCTCCCTTCCTCCCTCCCTCTTCCCTTCCTTCCTTTCTCCCTCCCTCCTCCCTTCCCTTCCTTCCTTCCCCTTCCTTCCTCCCTCCCTTTCTTCCTCCCTCCTACCTTCCCTTCCTTCCTTCCTCTTCCCTTCCTTCTTCCCTCCCTTTCTTCCTTCCTCACTCCCTCTTCCTTCCTTCCTCCTTCCTCCCTCCCTCTTCCCTTCCTCCCTTCCTTTCTCCCTCCCTCCTCCCTTCCCTTCCTTCCTCTTCCCTTCCTTCCTTCCTCCCTCCTTTCCTTCCTGCCTCCCTCTTCCCTTCCTTCCTCCCTTCCTCCTTCCTCCCTTCCTCCCTCCCTCTTCCCTTCCTCTTCCCTTCCTTCCTCCCTCCCTCCCTTCCTTTCTTCCTTCCTTTCTCCCTCCCTCCTCCCTTCCTTCTCCCTTCCTTTCTCCCTCCCTCCTCCCTTCCCTTCCTTCCTTCCTTCCTTCCTCTTCCCTTCCTTCCTTCCTCCCTTCCTTTCTCCCTCCCTTTCTCCCTTCCTCTTCCCTTCCTTCCTTCCTTCCTTTCTCCCTCCCTTCCTCTTCCCTTTCTTCCTTTCTCCCTTCCTTCCTGAACTTCATAATCTGTTTTGTAAAAAAAACCTAACTGCCAAAGATGAAAGAAGGGGTGGTTTTTGTTTCTGCCTCATCTGCTTCTATTGTAATCCCCTCCTCATTAAGAAAAATGAAATCTTCTATTCCTTACAACTGAGAAAGAGGGATTCTTGCCTTATTCAGACATGCTATTAAAATCAGCCCATTTAAAAAGAGGCTAAACAGCAGAGAAGTGCTGCAAAGTAGCAGTGTCCCTGTTCCAGGTGTTTCGGGGGGGGCTCCAAAAAAGGGAAAAATGTAGCACTTATGGGGAAATTAACTTATTATCCCCCCCAAAAAAAACCCCTTATGTACGAAAGCAGCTAATGTATTTTGTACAGAATCACTCCATTTTTCCTAACACTCCAGGATGATAAATGTAGGAATAAACATCGTACAAAACTCATTATTTTCTCATTTTGCCGTATTCCTCTTTGTAAATTACCATCCTGAAAATCATGGTTTCACGGTGTAGGAAAGAGAAAACTACCTGGTGAAGAAAGGAAGGGTAGTCCAATAAAATGTGTGTGTGTGTGTGTGTGTGTGTGTGTGTGTGTGTGTGTGTAATCCCCCATTCCCCAATCACGGAATCGAAGCCAGGCACAACAAGCTCAAAAAAAGAGTGAGGTTTTAATCACATTCTTGCACCCCTCATCTTTACCCCTCCCCCATGGATGGCCGGTAGCAGATACTAGCTGGACTAAATGACCTTTAATGTCTCCTCCAACTCTATGATTCTAGGATGACAGAGAGTCCTTGACCTTTTTTTTTTTTTTTTTTTTTTTTGGCGTTCAGGTCAGAAGCACTGAGGCTTCTGGGTCAGGAGCAGCAAGGCTTCTGGCTCAGAAGTACCGAGGCTTCCTGGTCAGAAGCAGTGAGGCTTCCGGGTCAGAAGCACCGAGGCGTCTGGCTCAGAAGCACTGAGGCTTCCGGGTCAGAAGCACCGAGGTTTCTGGGTCAGAAGCACCGAGGCTTCCGGGTCAGAAGCACCGAGGCTTCCGGGTCAGAAGTACTGAGGAGTCCAGCTCAGAAGCACTGAGGCTTCCGGGTCAGAAGCAACGAGGTTTCCGGGTCAGAAGCACCGAGGCTTCCGAGTCAGAAGCACCGAGGCTTCCGGGTCAGAAGTACTGAGGCGTCCAGCTCAGAAGCACCGAAGCTTCCGGCTCAGAAGCACCGAAGCTTCCGGCTCAGAAGCACCGATGTTTCCGGCTCAGAAGCACCGATGTTTCCGGCTCAGAAGCACCGAGGCTTCCGGCTCAGAAGCACCGATGTTTCCGGCTCAGAAGCACCGAGGCTTCCGGCTCAGAAGCACCGAGTCTTCCTCATAAGAAGCACCGAGTCTTCTGGCTCGAAAAGATTAGCCGGTGACATCACCGTCGCCCTGGGGATGCCCAGCTGGGGACTCCTTTCATGTCCCTGCAGGAGCTGGAGGGAAGGATGAGAGCTCAACCCTGCCCCATGGCAACTCTTGGGTCTTTAACGCGGGCTTATTATAACCTCCTGCCCGGCGTTCTAGCCATTCAAGCTCCTTAGTAGTCCTTGATTAAACAACAGTCATAAAATGGGGTTGCGTAGGCGATGACCAGGCTGAGCCCAAGGGAGGGGTCGAATGCATCATAAGTCAGGAGCCCCTGCTCGCTCGCAGGAGATCTCGGTCCAGCCCGCCTCGAATGCCTGTCTTATCTCCCACTCATTTCCCTTGACTGTTAGTTGGTCAGATTCTTGGATTAAAGTCAAGCGCTGGGGAAATCAGGAGAGTCAGGCAGTTCAAAAGACCATAAAGATGTGTTGCAAGCTTAAACGCTCTACAACAGTGATGGCGAACCTTTTAGAGACCGAGTGCCCAAACTGCAACCCCAAACCCACTTATTTATCGCCGCGTGCCAGGTGGGCGTGGCCCACTGGATGGGCGTGGCTGTGGGCATGGCAGATTGGGTGGGTGTGGCCAAGGTGGGCATGGTCAGCTCAATGTTGCTCGTGGGGAGAGGCACCTGTAGGGGGTGGGTAGGGTTGGGGCAGATCCAGGGGGGTCTCTGGCAGGTGCGGTGGTAGGCGGGGTGAGGCAAGGCAGGGCGGCTGCTGCCTGACACCATCGGCCCCTGCACACAGAGGCCAGCGAGCGCATGGGGGCCAACGGTGTCCGTCAATAACCATAGCCTGCCAGCCCCTTGACCGGTGCACTCTGGGGCTCTGCAGCCCACCCCGAGAAGTTCAGAGAAGCTGCCTCTGAGCTGGACGGCCGGCCGACAGCTGAGGAGACGATGCAATGGGTCGTGCCTGGGAAAAGGAGAGCATGCGAGGCCAGGAGGGATGGGACGGGGGGGGGAGGGAAACCAGCCGTGCCAGGTTGCATCCAGCCATGTGGGATGGTGGTAAGTTAGCAGGCGGCTGGTTGAAGAGGAACAGTTGCCCTCTCTGGGGCACGGCGCACGTCCCCACAGAGAGGGCTCTGAGTGCCACCTCTGGCACGCGTGCCATAGGCTCGCCACCGTTACAGACGCTCACAAACGCAGACAGGCAACAAGAGCAGGACGGAGGGAGGCAATGGGGCGGCTCCAAGGGAGAAGGAGAAGGCATTGAGAAGCCACGCCTGGGGGCTGCATAATGAAAAGGGAAGGTGTGGGCGGTGCTGGTTGCTGAAGGCAACCGTTTGCAGAGGACTCAAGTTTCATGGAATCCTGTTCTGTTTGCCTTACTGAACAATTCTCCGTCTGAATCCTGTTTTGTTTGCCTTGCTGGTGAAAGTTCTCCGTTTGCATCGTGTTTTGTTTGCCTTTGTTTGGGGGACATTTTGCAGGTCTGTACCTAATTAATAAAAGGGGTTTGTTTTCCCTGCATTTCCAGCCTACTTGTTAAAAGAGGAGTTGATGCTTGTGACTTAACAAGGACTCACATAGGCTGGGACACAACAAATCTTCCCAGCCAGCTTCCGATGAGCAAAATCGATGGGGGAGGGGAAGCCAGACTGCTTAATGAATGAATGAATCCCTGAACCACGACTGCAGTGAATGAATGAATCACGACCGTAGTGATTTGCTTAACAGTGTGACCTCGCTTAACGATGTTCTGGCTTCGCAAACAGAAATTTTGGGCCCAACTGCGGTCGTAAGTTGAGGACTACGTGCATAAGCTTCTTCGGGGGCCACGCCCCTTACCACATTGCTGTCTCTTCCCCTTGCACTCCTCCTCAGCGGCCTGGGCACAAGCTGCAGGGCTGGGCGACCGGGCGCACGGTTGCGCATAGAAGGCACATAAGCGACGGACTTCCGCCAGCTGTTTGTCTCCCGGGATCCGAGCGGCAGCCAGCCACTCTGAACAGCTGGGCTCTCGGCTGGAGGGCGATTCTGACCAGAGGAGGAGAGAGAAGAGCAGTTGGGGGGGCGGCAGAAAACATATTTAAAACTTGAAAATTATAAATATGAAATTTAAACATTAACGGGAAACTAAAAACTGGGAAAAAAACTAATTAGGACATTGATTGTCCATAAAGATTGAATGTTAAAACAACTAGGGTATGTCTAAGGCAGTGGTTCACAACCTGTGTGTCGGGACCCCATTTGGGGTCGAACGACCATTTCACGGGGGTCGCCAAACAACGCAGTCCGCCATTTTTTCCCCCTTTTCCTTAGCTGTGCTACTGCCTTTTATTCTATTGGCTTTTGAAAGCCAATAGAATAGACTCTCTTGAATAGAGTCTAATTCTATTGGCTTTCAAAAGCCAATAGGAATTGTCCAGGCTGTCTCTGCCTGCTGAGCCCGCCAAAAGTCCCATTCTGCAAACGGTGCTGCACCAGTTGAGTAGTCCTCGACTTACGACTGGTTGAGTAGTCCTCGACTTACGACCGGTTGGGGGTCGCGGCATTAAAAAGGTTGAGAACCACTGGTCTAAGGTAAAAATTATTGACAAACGTAAGAAAGTTATTTTTATTTAGTCGATATAATCAGAAATGCACTAATTTACATATGAGACAGTAAATTACTAAGGAGAAAGGAGAGGACATATTTAACGTAAGAGTTTGAGATTTGTACTAAAGATACTTGTATGTTGTTGCATGGTCCATTAACTTGGCCGCCATGTGGCTTTTTAAATATTTAAATGTAGAACTAGAAAATCAATAACATTTTCTTTTTTTAAAAAAAAACCTTCCCCCTTAGCAGTTCCTGAACCACAGGCAGGATCTCACATTCCATGAGAATGTGGCTGCAAAATTTGGTTCATAGTAATAGCATTTAGACTTATATATTGCTTTATAATGCCCCCTCTAAGCAGTTTACAGGGCCAGCATATTGCCCCCCCGCCAACCATCTGGGTCCTCGTTAGAAGATTGAGTCAGTCTGGAGCCAGTGGGAATCGAACTGCTGGCAGTGGGCAGAATTAGCCTGCCGTACTGCATTCAAATCACTGCACCATCACGGCTCATGGGTTTGGCTAAGTTAGATTTGGGTTTTTGCAAGCTGTGTAAGTCCAGGCCAGTGTTTCTCAACCTTGTCCAGTTTAAGATGGGTGGAACGCAATTCCCAGAATTCCCCAGCCGGCCCTCTCTAACAAAATGAAATCCAATGGTGAGAAAAATCAGATTTTGCACTTAGGCAAGAAAAAACAAAACGCACAGGTACAGAATAGGTGGTACCTGAGACTCAATAGTAGTAACTACGAGATGGATCTAGGAGTCCTAGTGGACAATCCCTTAACTATGAGCCAGCTGTGTGCTGCAGCTGCCAAAAAGGCCAACACAGTGCTAGGCTGCATTAACAGAGGGACAGAATCAAGATCACGTGAAGTATTAATACCACTTTACAAGGCCTTGGTAAGGCCACATTTGGAATACTGCATTCAGTTTTGGTCACCGCGATGTAAAAAAGATGTTGAGACTCTAGAAAGAGTACAGAGAAGAGCAACAAAGATGATCAGGGGACTGGAGGCTAAAACATATAAGAAAAGGTTGCTGGAATTGGGTATCTCTAGTTTAATGGAGAGAAGGACGAGGGGTGACATGACAGCAGTGTTCCAATATCTCAGGGGTTGCCCCAAAAAAGAGGGAGTCAAGCTATTCTCTAAAGCGCCTGAAGGCAGGACAAGAAGCACAGATGGAAACTAACCAAGGAGAGAACCAATCTAGAACTAAGAAGGAATTTCCTGACATTGAGAACAATTAACCAGTGGAACAACCTGCCTCCAGAAGTTATGGGGGCTCCAACACTGGAGGTTTTTAAGAAGAGACTAGACAGCCATTTGTCTGGAATGGCATAGGGCAGTGGTTCTCAACCTTTCTAATGCCGCGACCCCATAATACAGTTCCCCATGTTGTGGTGACCCCCAACCACTTATACATCACCGGGTGCCAGGGGCGTGGCCAAAGACAAGGGGAAAAAATAGCGGACAGCCTTGTTTGGCGACCCCCGTGAAATGGTCGTTCGACCCCAAATGGGGTCCCGACCCACAGGTTGAGAACCACTGGTATAGGGTCTCCTGCTTGAGCAGGGGGCTGGGCTAGAAGACCTCCAAGGTCCTCTTCCAACCCTGTTATTCTGTTATTCTGGTGGAATTCTGGGAGTTGAAGTCCACTCATCTTAAACTTGCCAAGATTGAGACACATTGATCCAACCCTTTGGTCTATTCTGCCCCCTGCTGGTGAGGCTGGAGAAAGGCAGCCCCTGGCACTCACTCTCCATCTGTTGTCGGATCCAGTCTGCAAAGGCAGTGATGCGAGTGTACACTCCCGGTTTCCCACGCTCCCCGCAGCCAGAGCCCCAGGAGGTGATTCCGTGCAAGACGTAGCGCTCCAGTAAAGGGTCCCAGCACATCAAGGGCCCCCCAGAGTCCCCCTGAAAGGAGAAATGGTTGCAAGTCCAAAGCAGAAGGCAAAGAGAGCTGTGTCCCAAGAATTAATCCCGCAAGGTAGGAATTAATGCAATCAGGGAGAGGAGACTCACATCCAACCATCTTTTGGGGTCACCAGAGTCAATGAAGGTCAAGGGACCAACTACAAGTACAGTTGTGCAACCCCCCCCACCCAAAGTGACTTTTCAGAGAGAAGAGAGAGAGGAGAGAGAGAGAGAGGAGAGAGAAGAAGAGAAGAAAGAGAGAGGAGAGAGGAGAGAAAAAGAAGGGAGAAGAGAGAGAAAGAAGAGAGAAGAGAGAGAGGACAGAGAAGAGAGAGAAGAGAGAAAGAAAGAAAGGAAGAGAGAGAGGACAGAGGAGAAAGAAGAGAGAGAGAAAAGAGAGAGGAGAGAGAAGACAGAAAGAGAGAAGGAGAAAGGAGAGAGAAAAGAGAAAAAGAAGAGAAGAGAGAGAAAGAAGAGAGAGAGGAGAAAGGAGGGGGGAGAGAGAAGAGAGACAGAGAGGAGAATATGACCACCTTCTGCAACCTGACAAACACAGGTGATGGGGAAGCCAGATTCACTTAACAACCCTGTTTACTAAATTAGCAACTTCAGTGATTCACTTAAAACCGGGGGGGGGGACTCACTTCACCAATGTTTCGTGTCACAGGAGAAATTGTGGTCGTACGTTGAGGACCACCTGTGCAGCACCTTTACCCCTGCACCCAGCAGCCATCCCCAGGCAGGAAGTGGCCCTCACGTCCCTGACCTGCACTCCCCCCTCGCTCTGGGACCCTCACCTGACATGAGTCGATGCCACCAGACAGGTACCCAGCGCAGAACATGGCACTGCTCACCAGCTGGCTCCCTAGAGCCGCACGGCACAGGTCTTGGGCCAGGATCGGCACCCGAGCTTCCATCACCACCTCAGCAGGTGGCCCGTCTAGGAGAGAAGCAGACGGAAGCGTGAATGGCCACACCCCCATGCTGCCGGTTTCCTCCCCCTTGGCAGGTGAGATGCGACAGGTAACTGGGCCCCAGGTGAGACGCTGCAAGAGGACAATGTCAGCTCTTCCTCCTCCTCCTCCTCTGATCCAGATCCGGTTTTGATGAGCAGCCCGAGAAGTTGCAGAACACTGATAAAGATCGATGGAGATTTCCAGTCATCCAGGTCAAGGTGCATTTTCATAAGACAACTGGACTTTTCTTTGTTTTTAATAATAATAATGATGATGATGATAATAATAAAGTTGGAAGGGACCTTGGAGGTCATCTAATCCAACCCCTGCTCAGGCAGGAAACCCTATACCATTTCGGACAAATGGCTGTCCAGTCTCCTCTTAAAAACTTCCTGTGTTGGAACATTCACCGCTTCTGGAGGCAAGGAGTTCCACTGGTTAATTGTTCTGACTGTCAGAAAATTCCTCCTTAGTTCTAGGTTGCTTCTCTCCTTGGTTAATTTCCATCCGTTGCTTCTTGTCCTGCCTTCAGGCGCTTTGGAGAATAGCTTGACTCCCTCTTCTTTGGGGCAGCCCCTGAGATATTGGAACACGGCTATCCTGTCCCCCCTCGTCCTTCTCTTCATTAAACTGGACACACCCAATTCCGGCAACCGTTCCTTGTATGTTTTAGCCTCCAGACCCCTGATCCTCTTTGTTTCTCTTCTCTGTACTCTTTCTAGAGTCTAGAAAACATTTCGCTTCTCATCCCAGATGCTTCTTCAGTTCTGACTGGACAGTGAGGAATGGAAGAATTTATAGGCCTTGCAGACAGCTGGTCATTTGCATTCTTTTAGAGCAGTGGTTCTCAACCTTTCTAATGCGGTGACCCCATAATACAGTTCCCCATGTTGTGGTGATCCCCAAGTGGGTGTGGCCACCAATAAGAGGGAGTAGGACAGCTAGGGAAAAGGGAAAAAAATGGCGGACAGCGTGGTTTGGCGACCCCCGTGAAATGGTCGTTCGACCCCAAATGGGGTCCCGACCCACAGGTTGAGAACCACTGTTTTAGAGAATCATGGAGGCCACCTGGTTTACCTGTATCCTCAGGGTCACCTGAGTAATGCAAATGGATGTGGAGCTTTGTTGAAGGATGGAAGGAGTTATACTCCTTGCAGACAGCTGGTCATTTGCATTCTTTTAGGGAGCCGTTGAGGCCACTTGGAGGTTTGTCTGTGTCCTCAGGGTCACCTGAGTGGTGCAAATGGGTGTGGAGCCTTCTTGGGACCGCTGAAAGGACCGTGTTGTAGACTAGAGATAGATGATGTCGTATCCCTCCCCCTCTGTTGAGAGAGGGCTGTTCAATTTGGACATAGATGGCCTCCAAGTGGCCTCAACGACCCTCTAAAAGGATGCAAATGACCAGCGGTCTGCAAGGAGTATAAATCCTTCCATTCCCCACCATCCAGTCAGAGCTGAAGAAGCTTCTGGGATGAGAAGCGAAACAAAGGAAAAACAAGGAAGTCCAATCACCTCCTGAAAAAGCATCTTTGGGACGACTCTCATAAATAGGCACGCCATTTTTTCAAGTGCCATTGTAACTTAAAATGGTCCCTGGTTGTTAAGTCAAGGACGACCTGTATATAAGTAGAATTTAATAGATTTGTGCTTTCCGACTTGCCGGATTCTGCCAAGGTAGCATGGCAGAAAAAGTAGATTTAGCTCATTTAGGGATGTTTCCTGTCTGGTTCACCTAGCAGGGCTGACAGGCCAGCGGTCCCCAAATCTTTTGGGCACCAGGGACCAGTTCCACGGAGAGAGGTTTTTCCGCTGACCAGGGAGAACGTGGTTTTGCGTGCTGCCTGCATCCCACAGAGGGGGCTTTGCTTGTTTGCATGGACTGGTTTTTGGCATGCCGTGGACTGGTGGCGGTCCACAGCCCGGGGATTGTGGACCTCTGTGTTAGGCGATCACTAGGAATTCCAAGTGACTTGATGTCACCTATTCAATCCATCAACCAATCGACTTTCCCGAAGTTTTGGATATTACAGGCAGTCCTTGACTTACAACCGTTCGTTTAGTGACCGCTGGAACTTATAGTGGCACTGACCACAGTGACTTACGACCATTTTTCACACTCACGACCATTGCAGCAACCCTACGATCACAGGATCAAAATTCGGACACTTGGCAACTGACTCGCATTTGCGTGATCCCCTTTTGTGATCTTTGGACAAGCAAAGTCCATGGGGGGGGGAGCCAGATTCACTTAACAACCATGTTATTAACTTAACAACTGCAGTGATTCACTTAATGACGTCGCCCAAAGGTTGTAAAATGGGGCCAAATTCACTTAACAATGGTCTCACTAAGCAACAGTATTGTGGTCGTTAAGTAGAGGACTACGTGTAATTCCCTGGCCTGCAAGGCTTTGGAGCAGGGGTCCTCAACCTATGGGGCTGCAGCCCACGACCGGGCTGCAGGCTCTTGGCCAGCGGACTGCGGAAATGGCTGGGCAATGGGCACACATTTGTGCGTGCACTCCCCCACTCGTGCTAGCGCCGTGGCCCCATTGGCGCATGCACCTGGGCGCAAACGGGGCAGCTACTGCCGTGCGGGTGTGCATGGCCCATTTGGGCCATGAGCAAACGGGGCCGCTAGCACAACACTAGTGCGCGTGGTCCCGTTTGCGTGTGTGCATGTACACGAACCCATTTGGAATCGGCTCTCCTTCCCTCCGGTCCACGTGGCTGGAAAGTTTGGAGACCTCTGCTTTAAGCCATCATCCAAGCCATATCAAAGGGGAGCTGAGAGTCCTGACCTCCGAGTCCCGCAGCCCCACCGCTACCTTCATAGAGCGAGCCCCAGCCGACAATGTAGCAGAGTTCCTGGCTCGTCTCCGTGGCCTGGTCCGGGAGGCAGACGGGGGTCACCCAGGCCGAAGGGTGCGCGGGAACAGTTAGTTCCAACGAAGCCACGTCCCCATGGAAGGTCTTTGGGTTGAACTACGGAAAGAGAAACGGGCTGTTGCAGTGGGGGGGGAGAAGAGCACCAAGCAGCCATAGGGATTCGGGTTGGGGGTCTTCTGCAAACGGTGGGCAGGACCAGACCCCCAGACTCACCTTGGGGTGAGTCAGGATGCGGCTGACGGGCACCACCTGTTCGCCTTCATCCCGCCTGGTTAGATCATAGTTACCCAGGACCACCGACCAGGCCAGTTCGTTTCGGCTCCTACAGAAGAAAAACCAATTGTGGTCATAAGTACGTGTCCAGGAATTGATTTAACAGCTAACCAGCTTATGTAAGATATAAGATGTCATGATAGGAATGACTCAGCAGGGTCTGAATCTCTTTAAGAGCCTTAGTATAAAGAGAAGGCTCTGCTGATGTGTTCCCTCTCTTCTGTTTCCTGCTGTAACTGTTGTGTGTTGGATCCTGCTGTATTAACACGTGGATGTATATTGTTCCGGGTGTATGATATTGTAGATAATGTAAGGTAAGCCACCATATAATATAGGCCAGTGGTGGCGAACCTATAGCACGCGTGCCAGGGGCGGCACTCAGAGCCCTCTCTGTGGGCACCCGTGCCATGCCCCAGAGATGGAAACCGCCCCTCTTCAACCAGCTGCCCGCTAACTCGCCGAGGTCCCACGTGGCCGGATGCATCCCAGCACGGGTGGTTTCCCTCCCCTCCATCACATCCCTCCTGGCCTCACATGCTCTCCTTTTCCCGGGCACGACCCACTGCATCGTCTCCTCAGCTGTCGGCTAGCCGTCCAGCTCAGAGGCGGCTTCTCTGAACTGCTGGCGGTGGGCTGCGGAGCCCCCGGGTGCACCGGTTGAGGGGCCGGCAGGCTGTGGCTGCTGATGGACACTGTCGGCCCCCATGTGCTCACTGGCCTCTGTGTTCGGGGGCCAATGGTATCGGGCAGCAGCTGTCCAGGCCCCTGCCTCACCTTGCCCTGCCACAATGGCACCCCTGCCCTGCCTTGCCTTGCCTCGCCTCACCCCACAGGACGAGCCTCCTGCCCACCGCCCCACCTGCCAGAGACCCCCTGGATTTCCCCTAACCCTGCCCGGCCCCCATAGGCGTCCCTCCCCACAAGCAACATTAAGGTGACCACACCCACCTTGACCACACCCATCCAGTCTGCCATGACCACCACAGCCACGCCCACCCGGTGGGCCACACCCACCTGGCACCTGGCGATAAATAAGTGGGTTTTGGGTTGCAGTTTGGGCACTCGGTCTCTAAAAGGTTCGCCATCACTGATATAGATCACTGATATAGACTGTGCATGTTCTGACAGGAAGACTTTTGTGGACCCACCCTAAGCAGGAGTTGGACTGGATGACCTCCCTGATCTCTTCCATAGAGACGGGAAGCTTTGGCCTTACCCAGTGAAGCAGTGAGCGGCTGTGACAATCCACGTGCTCCCCACCAGCACCCCACTGCACATCAGCTCTCCGTTCAGCATCACCGACACCAGCCATGGCCAGGCACCCGGCTTTGCACGGCTGCCCCCCACAATCTTCCCCTTTGCCAGCGTCACATTAGGGGCAGGGACCACACGGCGCCCACAGGATTCTGCAAACCGAGGCGAGAAAGGGTTAGATTCCAATAACCGGTTGAAGGATGTCAGAATCAACTTTGTAGTCTCCAAGCCGCACATTCACACAACCCATCGGACTGGGTGTCAGAATCCACCCAGGTTCTGGCCTTGCAGACTACAACCAGTAATTAATAAGGTTAAGATTAGAGCAGTCTTTCCTAAGCTTAGCCGTTTTCAGATGTGTGGACTTCAATTCCCAGAATGCCCCAGCCAGCATTGCTGGCTGGGCCATTCTGGGAGTTGCAGTCCACACAATTTAAAGTAGTTCAACTTGGAAAACACTAGATTAGAGGCTAAATCACCGAGGCACAAAGCAAAATATAAGCTTGGCCACTGGCATGTATTTATGACGGTCGCCGTGTCCCAAGGTCATGTGATTCCCCCTTTTGGCGACCTTTGGACAAAGCAAAGTCAAGCCGGATTCATTTAATGACTGCACAATCCTCTGAAGAACTGCAGCCCTTCGCTTCACAACAAAAAGGTTCATAACATCGGGCCCCATTCACTCAACCACCGCTTTGCTTAGCGACGGAAATTCTGATCCCAATTTGGTTGTATGTCGAGGAGCACCTGGGCTCCCGGTCGGGAAAAGTTACATTAAAGCTAGAGCCTATTAAATAGCAGGCAAATGCTTTAACAAAGGGCTCTACAACCTTGGCAAATTTAAGGTTGGTGGACTTCAACTCCCAGAATTCCTCAGCCAGCCTCCATTTTGTTTCTTAGATTTAAGACAGGGGTCTTCAAACTTGGCCCTTTTAGGACTTGTGGACTTCAACTCCCAGAATTCCTCAGCCAGCCTCCATTTTGTTTGTTAGATTTAAGACGGGTCTTCAGACTTGGCCTTTTGATGACTTGTGGACTTCAACTCCCAGAATTCCTCAGCCAGCCTCCATTTTGTTTGTTAGATTTAAGACAGGGGTCTTCAAACTTGGCCCTTTTATGATTTGTGGACTTCAACTTCCAGAATTGCATGCCTGGCTGAGGAATGCGTGCCTGGCTGAGGAATTCTGGGAGTTGAAGTCCACAAGTCATAAAAGGGCCAAGTTTGAAGACCCCTGCTCTTAAGCCGTACACCGGCACAATATTCAGCTGTGGAATAGACCAAAGCCAAGGCTGTTATTTGTCATGATTAATCATATTAACCATCAAAATGGGATACAAGCTTCAAACAGAGGCAAGATAGCTTGAGAGTCCTGACTAAATAATTTATGCTTTCACTCCAACAGAAGCTTTGATGACACGCAAATAGTAGGCAGCTTTCTATTTAGAGGCAGTCCTGGAGTTATGACCACAAGGTGGCCCAAAATTTCCATTGCTAAGTGAGACAGTTGTTTGTCCCATTTTTCTTGCCACAGTCTGACACTGTCTGGGCACAAATCTCCTTCTGCTCCCTTCTGTCAAGCTTGATCCCAATTAAGAGGGTGACTGGCCTGTCCCGTAAGGTCAGCGTTCAGCCTGGTGACCTTTTCAGACCCAACGCTGACCTTGTTCCTAAAAGAAAAAAACAGCAAAACTGGTGTACCAGCCCGGTCTGTTTCTCCAGATTTCCGCTGCGGGTCCGTTGCCGCGGAAGAGAATGATTGCAATCACACCGCCTGTGATACAACCACATGTGCACAAAAGCAGAGGAACGAAGTGGGAATCTCCCTATTGCAGAGTCCTCGACTCACAACAGTTCACTTGCGGACCATTCAAAGTTACGATGGCACTGGAAAAAGGGACCGGGTTTTTTTCCGCAGCTACAAACATTTGCAGCATTGATTCCTATTTACGACAGCGACTCTGCGCTGGGGTTACAGGATCAACCTTTCAGAAAGTGGGCAACTGGTTCCTACTTACGACCGTTGCATCCCAGGGTCACGTGATCAACTTTTGTGGCGTTCTCACGAGCAAAGTCTATGGGGAAGCCGGATTCACTTAACAACCGGGTTACTAAATCAGCGGTCCCCAACCTTTTGGGCACCAGGGACCGATAACATGGGGAGGGTTTTTCCGTGGACCGGAAGCTGCGTGGTTTTGTGGGCTCTCCTGCATCCCGCGGATGGGGCTTTGCTTGTTTGTGCGGCCTGGTTGCTGGCATGGCTGGCTCAGGAATTCTGGGAGTTGAAGTCCACAAGTCATAAAAGAGCCAAGTTTCCCCACTCCTGGTATAGGGTTTCCTGCCTGAGCAGGGGGTTGGACTAGATGACCTCCAATGTCCCTTCCAACTTTATTATTATAATAATTATTATTATTATTACTACTACTACTACTATTATTATGGATCATTGCACAGTCATCCAGATGTTCAGACTGGATTTGGCATTTTGTCTACCTATCGAGTCCTTACCCAGGACCTGGGATAGGCAGATGTGGATGTTTGATGGTATTACAGATCTCGTCGCAGGATGGAAGCAATTCCTAGTAAGGCCGCCTTTTGCAATTGAATAGTGGCGAATTTGTCAATGCCGATGATGGTGTTTTAAGTGGTGCTCCAGTCGTTTTGGGATTGCACCCAAGGCGCCTATGACTATTGGTACTACCCTTGTTATTATTAGTATTATTATTAATTATTATTGTTAATTATTATTTATTGTTATTAATTATTGTTATTAATTATTATTATGTTATTCATTAGATGTGAACCTCAGTCAACTGAACATTCAAACTGACTGGCGCTGATGGTTGACACAGGTTGTTGTTATTATTATCATCATTATCATCATCATCATCATCCCTGCCAATCTGCTCAAGGTTGCACCCTAACCTGGAAGAGACTGATCAGCCACAATATTCGGAGCGCCCGCCTCGTTTTCCAGCTCTGCGAATGAATAAGAAAATGGCAGTTAAAATCAACAACGTCCCTTTGCAGCCATCAGACACAGCCAGCTTTTAATTCTGGGACAAGAATGCACAAACAGCCATTTTTGTCTACAAGTACCCTTCCTTTAGTGACCGAAGTCACAACGGGCCTGAAAAATGTGACTTATGACCGTCTTTCACACTTATGACCATTGCAGCATTTCTCCCCCCCCCCTCGGTGGTCACAGGATCGAAATTCAGACACTTGGCAACTGACTCCTATTTACGACGGTTGCCGTGTCCCGGGGGCCACGTGATCCACTTCTGCAACCTTCTCGCAAGCAAAGTTAATGGGGGAAGCCCGATTCACTTAGCAACCGTGTGACTAACTTAGCAACCGCAGTGATTCACTTAACGGCGGTGGCAAGGGAGGTCGCAAAATGGGGCAAGATTCACTTAACAACCATCTCAGTGAGCGATAGAAATGTTGGGCTCCCTTGTGGTCATACGTCGAGGACTCTCTGGGTATCGTCCAAATTCAGGATCAAAATTTTGCATGGCTCTTTTTATCATGAATGGCACATGAAAAATGAACCAGAATTCTTTTTTTTTCTTTTATATATATATATGTGTGTGTGTGTGTGTGTTTGTGTGTGTGTGTATGTATACGTATACGTATACACACACACACACACACACACATATATATATATATTTAGGTTGCTGACAAAGAATAAAGAGAGAACTGGGATAACTAATTCGAGTTTCTTAACTCTCTTCAGCCAGACTTACTCTTCTGAGATTCGAACCTGGGCAATCTGCATGTTAGGCAGTTGTTATAACCTCTAGGCCACAGGCTCTTTCTCACTTTGTCAGTTGTATCAGGAGAGATATATTTTCTGAGGTTTTCACAGGTGTTTGTATGTAGGTCTTTGGTTATTCGGGTTTTCTCCCGCGTAAAATTGTAAGTGACTTGGCGACGTTTCAACGAAGTCCCATTCGTCATCTTCAGGCTGGTGTTTTCGGCTTCGTGCTTCTAGGAGCAATGTCTAGGAGTGCTTCCTAGAAGCACAAAGCTGAAAACACCAGCCTGAAGATGACGAATGGGACTTCATCGAAACGTCGCCAAGATACTTCCAATTTTACGCGGGAGAAAACCCGAAAAACCAAAGACCTACATATATATGTGTGTGTGTGTGTAAATTTAGATTTTGTTGACAAAGAGTTAAAGGGAGACAAGTATAGCTATTTTGAGCTATTTAGTTCTCATCAGCTAGCTATACTAATCTCCCTTTAACTCTTTGTCAGCAAAATCTAAATTTACAGAAATAGTTTATTCACATATTTAACAATGATTAATAGTAATTCATTACTATAATTCCATAGTTAACATATCAGATAGTAATACACTTCCTTGATCCTGTCTCCTTCCAGTAAAATTCTAATTTTGTATGTACCGATAGTATTAGAAACTGTATTTGCTTAATGTTGGCAGAATTCTTTTTTTTTTTTCCCCAAAAGAGGGTTTCAGGGCATCTGTGGGCTGAAAGAGCGTCTATTTCTAAGGTTTAAGGAAAGAAAAATACATAAATCAGGAACTCCACATTTCCTGTCCATTTTGCCTGGCCTTGGGGGACCCCAAAGGTAACGCCAGTAGCTTCCGTGTGTGTCAGGGGCTCAGTCCATTCACGGGGAAACCCACAGAAGACATAAGGGTGTCATACATATATGGCATCGCCCTGACAATTGTATTTGAACCAGTTGCATCGCCTGTGTCATGTCACAAGTGACGTGTTGTCGTTGCCCACCCTAGGGATGTTTATGTGATCCATCTGTATTTTGATCACTGGGGAGTCCACGTTGCTGGCTGATTCAAGAGGGGTGGGAGGAGGGTCTTGCACTGACCCCCTTTGGACAATCAGGGAGTTAAGGAAAGTGCGCAAAGGAAGGGGAAGAAAGATGTCGCACGCACAAAAAGATCTCTAGGACCAGATCCTGTCTGCTCAGCGTGCAAATCTCAGCAGGAAGACACATGAGGCTTTAGAGGGGGGGGCTCCTATGTTTGGGGCAGCCTGCCACGGAAAAGCAGGACGGCTGGCACCGTCCCTTTGGAACTTTCTGAAAAGCCGCAAAATTGGAACTGGGTCAGAAAGTCTCGGGCTACAGTGGCATCATCAGAACGCTCAACATCCCTGTGCCTGCTGTGAGCCGGACAGGGACCGGATGCCCCCCCCTAAAGAGGACAGTCCCCTTTCAGCAGGATTTTTACCTTCATTGTAGACTGCCAGCAGTCTTTGTGGAGGGAGGGAGGGAATGAGAGGGAAAAAAGGAGGGAGAGAAGAAGGGAAGGTAAGAAAGGAAGGAAAGAAGGAAGGGAGGGAGGGAGGAAAGAGAGGGGAGGAGGAAGGAAGGAAATGAGAAGAAAGGAGGGAGGGAGAGAGGAAAGGAAAGGAAAGGAAAAGAAAAGAAAGGAAGGGAAGGAAAGGGAAGGGAAGAAAGGAAGGAAAGAAGGAAGAAAGGAAGGAAAGAAGGGAGGGAGGGAGGAAGGGAGGGAGGGAGGAGAGGGCAGAAGGAAGGAAATGAGAAGAAAGGAGGGAGGGAAAGAGGAAAGGAAAGGAAAAGAAAGGAAGGAAAGGAAAGGGAAGGGAAGAAAGGAAGGAAAAAAGGAAGGAAAGGAAGGAAAGAAGGAAGGGAGGGAGGGACGGAGGGAGGGAGGAGAGGGCAGAAGGAAGGAAGGAAATGAGAAGAAAGGAGGGAGGGAGAGAGGAAAGGAAAGGAAGGGAAGGGAGGGAGGAGAGGCTGGGAGGAAGGAAGGAAATGAAAGGAGAGAGAGAGAGAAAGGAAGGAAAGAAAGAGAGAAGGGAGGGAGGGAGAAAAATAAGGAAAGAAGGAAGGGAGGGAGAGAGGGAGAGAGGAAGGAAGGAAGGGAGGGAGGGAGAAAAATGAGAGGAAAGAAAGAAGGAAGGGAGGATGGGGTAGAGGGACAGAGGAAAGAAGGAAGGGAGGAAAGGAAATTACAAGAAATAAAGAAAGGAAGGAAGGAAGGAAGGAAGGAAGGAAGGAAGGAAGGAAGGAAGGAAGGAAGGACTCCGCTTACGGGTGCAGGGCCTGCTCCGATCCCCGCAGTCGCCCGAGAGGCAGGATCCGCACCGCTTGCACTCCTGCAGACGCCGGCCGTGTTCTGACAGCGCCTCCTCCAGGGAAAGCAGGGCGGCCTTCAGGGCAGCTTCAAGCACCAGGGTGCCCCGGCTGGACAGTGCTGGGGGAGAGGTGGACAAAGCAACAACGGCCTGCTGTGCGACCAGCTTCCCTGTCCATCAGCTCCAAACGGGAAACAGCCGACCGCAGGGCAATCTCCAAACCTGGCAGCTTTAAGACTGGTGGACTTCGACTCCCAGAATCCCCCAGCCAGAACTGACCTCGCCTCAAAGACAGCTGGGGTGACGCTGGTCCCGAAGCTGCTCTAAAGCGGCAGCCTGGATTGGCCTCAGTGAGGACTAGAAGTCTGCGGGCTGCTCTTACCTCAGAAGGCATTGCAGTGGGTCAAGGGGAAAAGGTCCCTTGCTGAAGCGGGAGCTGCATGGATTTACATTAATGAGGACTACAATGCTGCCCACTGCTCTTACTTTGCAAGATGCTTGCAGGCAGGGGAATTCATTGGTGGTGGTGGTGGAAACCATACAGATCGGCCTCGATGAGGACTAGAAGGCTGCCAGCTGCTCTTACCATGCAAGATGCTGGCAGGCAGGGGGAGGAGCTCCGGGGGGGGGGAAGAAGCATGGATCAGCCTCCATAAAGACTACAAGGCTGCTCTTATCTCGCAAGACACTGATGGGCAGAGAGGGAGGAGCCCCTTGGGCTGCATGAGGACTAGAAGGTTGCTATCCTCTCCTACCTTGCTAAAGGGCAGGGTGAAGAGCTCCTTGTCAGGAAGGGAACCCCACAGATCGGCCTCAATGAGAACTAGAAGGCTGCCGGCGCTCTTACCTCCCAAGACAGGGGGCAAGACTCCTTGCTGGAGAGGGAGCCTTTTGGATCGGCCTCAGTGAGGAGTAGAAGGCTGCCGGCCGCTCTTACCTCCCAAGACAGGGGGAAGACTCCTGGCCGGGGAGGGAGCTTGAGGGTTGGCCTCCCTGAAGACTAGAAGGCTGAAGATAGGGGGAAGACTCCTTGCTCTTTGGGGAGGAAGCCTTGCGGGTCGGCCTCAGTGAGGACTAGAAGGCTGCCGAGCCACATGGATCGACCTCCCTGTGGACTAGAAGTCTGCTGGCCGCTCTTACTTCCCAAGACAGGGGGAAGACTCCTTGCCGGGTAGAGAGCTTGAGGGTTGGCCTCCCTGAGGACTAGAAGGCTGAAGATAGGGGGAAGACTCCTTGCTCCTGGGGAGGGAGCCTGGCGGGTGGACATCCCTGCGGACTAGAAGGGATGCGGGTTGGCCTCAGTGAGGACTAGAAGGCTGCCGGCCACTCTGACCTCCCAAGACAGGGGGAAGACTCCTGGCCGGGGAGGGAGCTGGCCTCCCTGAGGACTAGAAGGCTGACGAGCCCCATGGATTGGCCTCCCCGAGGATTAGAAGGCCGCCGGCCGCTCTTACGTCCCAAGACAGAGGAAAGATTCCTGGCCCGGGAGGGAACCTGGCGGGGCCGGCCTCCCTGAGGACTAGAAGGCTGCCGAGCCACATGGATTGACCTCCCTGTGGACTAGAAGGCTGCCGGCCGCTCTTACCTCCCAAGACAGGGGGAAGACTCCTGGCCGGGGAGGGAGCCGGCCTCCTTGAGGACTAGAAGGCTGCCGAGCCCCATGGATCGGCCTCCCCGAGGACTAGAAGGCCGCCGGCCGCTCTTACCTCGCAAGGCGCTGGCGGGCAGGGGGAAGAGCTCCTGGGCGGGGGCAGCCGCGGGGGCCGGATCCGCCCGGCGGGGGAGCCCCAGCACCAGCAGCCCCAGCAGCAGCAACCCCGGGGGCTCCATGTCCCGCGTGGGCAGAAGGAGCGTCGCTCGGGCTGCCTCGCACGGGGCG